TCCATTTTTAGGTATGGTGAACTTGAAGTTGATTTTGTAAGCTAGTTTTGGCATATTCCAATGGACACTAAGCACCCAGCACGGCATGTGCAGTGCGTAAAATGTGCCATTTCAAGTATCCATAAAGATAGAGATCCGATAACATATGCAAAAGCAAACTCACACTTCATGTTAAAAAGTGTTTCTGGAGAGTGATGAGTTAAATATTTGCCAAGAACTCCATTCTTATTCCAAAAATGTGCGCAAAAATTGTACGAAAATCATCCAAGTGCATTACTGACAGGATGTTATAACAATATATTGGAGCATATGGAAGGTTTTCAGGGAGAAGCAGAACATCGGTGATCCTGAATGATCACTGATTCTGAAGTCACACTTTTTGAAAAAAGTAAAATACATTTGGATGTCACTCAGGCTATACCGTAAAGTTCTGGTTAACCTGCATGGCACTTTATACCATACACATGCACTTGATCGAAATGACAAATAATACACAAAGAAATACAGCAGTGTGAAGTCTGAGAGGGGGGGGGAAGAACGTGAAGGACGCGCTGCCTGGAAGCTGATTGGCTCCTGACAGGCGCTGTTGATTCAGGCGTCCTCCGTGCAGAGAGATAAGATAAAGGCCATATAAAATAGCAGAGATGCGCATCTATCCCTCACTGTCAGCTGCACAGCTCCAGTGACCGCTGACTCCAGCTCCAGAGAGGATTAACGAGGGCTGCATCCTTATCCAAGCATCACCTGTCAGGTCAGTGCAAATATACCCATCCATCCTAAAAACCTGCACTAGAAAAATACGTTTGCTCATAGATTATTATTTATAAACCTGTTAAAAACTCATGGAAAATATTTTCAGAGGAAGAAACAATCTTAAATTACTTTAAGTTATTTCACTTGTGTAAACCTATCGAACCATATATAATATGATTTTGGTTATGCAAAAGAGTATTCATTATTTAAACTCTATTTGACCTCAGGATGTCTCCTAAAGTTCTCTGCGCCTCCACTGATCTGCACACATCCAGAGACGCGGTGACGCGCAGCAGGTTTTCTCCATCTGCAGCCGGTGGCACTGCAGAGGACTCCGGGGAGAGCTTCTCTCGGAAATCCCAGACTGGCACAGGGGGGGAAGCCTCGGCCTCCTCAGGGAAACATGTGAAACAGAGAAGCAGAGGTGAGCCGCGGGGCCGGCGCAGAGTGAAGGCCAACGACAGAGAGCGCTCCCGGATGCACAACCTGAACTCTGCCCTGGACGCGCTGCGGAGCATCCTGCCCGCGCTGCCGGAGGACGCGAAGCTCACCAAGATCGAGACCCTGCGCTTCGCCCACAACTACATCTGGGCTCTGACCGAGACCCTGCACATCGCCGACCAGCGGGGGTACCTGCAGGGGGGGTCAGGGCTTAGCAGCCCGGCAAGTGTCTCCTCAGCGGAGTGGGACTCACCTGCAGAGTGTGCGACCTCAGCTGAGTGTGACCAGAGAAGCTGTTACCCCCCCTCTCATCACATGAAGTGTAACATTTTATCAAGAGATCCATCCAGTGTTTTCCCTGTCACCTTTTATATCGAATCATTGTGTGGTGAAAATTACCAAAACTCTTGGCAGTGACTCACTTTTGATGAAAAACTCTGAAAACATAAAACTGCATTTCTCTTTATAGTTGAACACTTTTAGGCGCGTTTCTCTCCCACACATAAGTTCAGGGACATCAGAGCAGGTGTTTCCTTTCAGCAACCAAGGGCAAATACAAATACATGCAGTGACGTCACTGATTGAGATCCTAATTGGTCACTCACTCTCAAGCTTCTGCCCAATCAGATCTTACAAAAGCACCTTCACTGAGTTCCCAAAACAAACGTACTTTACAAAGATGATCATAAGTGTCCTTTAAGATCATTTCTGTTGTTTTTGGCATGATTTCCGGGCCATGTTGCACTTCAAATTTTGAAAAGTTCTTTACTGGAAGAGCATGAAGCACATTCAATGATTAAGGCAGACAAGACAATTGCTGTAAGCTAAACATATTTATTTGGTAATGACATTCAAAAAGGTTATTTTGAGCTGTTTTTGCTGCATAAAAGTCTATTTATTTAATAAAATTGTAGAAAACATGTGTCAAGAAGTGGTTTTTCCTTGTTTCCATGATTCAAAAGAACATACTGAACATGTACAAGGACAAATATTATTCAAAATTGATTTTCCTTTTGTAGATGCCAAAGTCAATGTGCAAATCAACCTTTCTAAAGATGTCGTTTTTTCTCGTCGTGCCTACCAGGGACTGCTCTGAAACATAATGCGAGAGACCAATTTAAAGTTTTCGGAGTAGCATGAGCTGCTAAATGCTGTAATGTCTGGGATTATGTCATGCTGTCAGAGTGGAGTGTAGTCCGAGGCGGAGCCCAGCGCTCTACTTGGGGAACACGGTGACCACGTCGTAGCCCTCTGGAGGCGTCACTCGTTCACGTGCGTGCTTCTCACAATAAATTTGGTCCTCCACAAAGAAATGTCCCTTCTGTTTGAGGTTGACGTCGCAGTCTGTGCAGGTGTAGCACTCAGGGTGAAGGAACTTGTCCCTCAGCTTCACCACCAGCCCCCTGAAAGAGAGAGGTAAAGATCACATTTCACTTGATGAACACAGTTCTTAACTTCATCCAGACAATTATCCATGAACTGGATTTCAAATATTTGGATTAGCTTTCCATGTTATGTGCAATGTGAAGTGTAAGGAGCAAACCTACATGGGTAAAAGTGTTTGGACAGTAGAACATTACATCGATATATGACTGCTACAAAATTGTATTCTAAAATAATTGGCATCAATCTGATTCTTAGACCTCAGACACAGGGTTTCCACTGACATACGTGTTGTTATGCCTCTATGACACACAGACAGTAGAGAGACATGTAAGGAAACAAAGAGAGACAGACACAAAACTCAAGACCAAGCCATTATGTTTCTGATATACTGCTAACTATGCCAGGAAATGGTGTGAAGTCAGAATCAAAATAAGTACTAACCTGAACCAAGGCGGATAATATTGTTATTGCTACTACACATGCAATTTATGCAAACATTCAAGATTGTAGAAATGAGAGTTACATTTTTAATGTTTAAAATGGAGGTCTGATATCATTTAAAAAACACAAAAAAGCACTATTCTAATTATCACAAGAAAATAGATACAAAACTTAGACTTCAAAAACAACACAACATTGAAATGATGTTAAAACCACAAAGGGTTTGTAAGAGTGTCTGGACACATCCATCAGTAAGTGGATCTGAAAAGGCTCGATGAGTAAACACAACATTCACAGTTCAAACCCGTCTCAACAAGTCTGGTTCTGCCTTTTTCAAAGTATCCGCCTGAATGCTTTTTATCTTCTCAAACCTGGTTTGCTTGCTTTTTAATAAAAAAAGGTTTCCAATCCCAAAACCTTTCAAACACAGAACAATTCAAAGAGAAGAGAAATCCCCCCACCACACACTAGTGGATCAGTAAAAGTTGATCGACGATTATATTTGAATGAGTCTATAGATTGTTTAGCTTTTTAGGAAACCCTACATGTGCCTTTAAAAGGATATTACATCTCAAACAGGAACTCAAAGTAGGTTGAAAAAGTAGAAGAGAATGTAGTTTAATGGAAATAAAGTATTTCAAGGCGACTGCTGCCACACTTTGGTATTGGTAATAACTAAATTCAGCCACAAGGGGGAGACAAACTGCAGAATGTGGAGGATGAAATCCTCTTTAATGGTCACACAGCCCACACAGTGAAACGTGACCTCTGCATTTAACCCATCCTAGTACTAGGAGCAGTGGGCAGCACCCGGGGAGCAATTGGGAGTGGGGGGGCGTATGGTGCCTTGTTCAAGGGCACCACGGCAGGGCCCAGGAGGTGAACAGGGACCTCTCCAAGTATCAGTCCTGGCGACCTTACGGCTCCCAGTCCAAGCCCCTACTGACTGAGCACACTCCAGTAGAGACAACAACCTTTTGTGTTGCGTCACAACATTGTGACAATGTGGACATTTTAAGAGTAAAAACACTACGCAAGATTACCAGCAGGCGTCATTGAAAGTAGCGTCTCTAGAGATTAGATTCCGATGAAGCCATAAACACTGCTCTACTTCCTCAGTGTTGCAAAAACAAACTGTAAAACATTACTGAGGAATCAGAAATTACTTACACAATCCCGGATCCACATTTGTCACAGGAGGGTAACTTGTCCGTGTTCCCCACCGAGGATCCCATCTTTGTTGCGGGTGCTTTCACACTCCTGAACCCGGACGGTTTATCAGGGTCACCTACACACACACACACACACACACACACACACACACACACACACACACACACACACACACACACACACACACACACACACACAATCCTTCAGGTCTCACAGGCATCTAGCATACTTCCTTTTTTGGGGGATTTTGTCCTTTTAAAAACACCCAAGAAATATGTAAAATGAAAGTGAAACATTGTAAAAGGGAATTGCTCGACCGCTCTTTGAGGAAGCTGTGAGGAATAATTCGGATGTGTACCTGTCTCGAGGATCTCCTGAAGCACTTTGAATGAAGCAGACTGTCGGGGGGGCTCGTCATACTCCTGGTTCTCCTGCAGCATCTTGTACACTTCAGAGTCTGCGACTACAGGGGGCATCTTGCCTGCCTGCGAAGGATCTGAAGCAGCTCTGCAAAGCAAGAGTACAATTCAATCTGTCTGCAGAGGACTAGACAGCAATCACTTTTCATTATTCCTGATGCATTAGGAGTTATAAAAGTGCACGAGAACCAAACCGTTGTACATGTACACCATAGGACTTGCAAAAGAATTAGAACATTTAAGTAAGTATCCAAGAGAGTGGAGATCTTACACTGTCAAATCTTGTTCTTCCTAGTTATTGTGACATTGTTTATCTTCTCATGGTCTTAAAGGTGGCGTTTAGTGACAAATAGTCAAATTGTATTTGCCTTTAGCCGAGTGGTTACTGTTTGATGGGAGATGAATCACACATCAATAAGAGGCGTGTGACTGAGCTAAAGCACGAGGGCAGCCTTTAGGGCATGGAGCACGCTGTTAGACTTTGACCTGCAAACAACGCACTGCTGTGTACGGGGGCAGGAGCAACACTATTCAAGAGACCCAATCAAATATGTATCGTTTTAAGAGTAACCTTTATTTTAGATGTATTTCATTTGCTATATCTTGCGTGAGATTGGCCTTCATACTAGGAACTGAAGCACTTTCCCTTGCCAAAGCATTCCATTGACTGCAGAACAGGACAGCTTCTGGTCCACCACTGCCTCTGTTTCTCCAAACAAGAGGCGTGCCAACCCTCATCTCCTGTAGGTCAGACTATACATAAAACAATGCAACTCCAAAACACCAGAATATCCTTTTCATCTGGATCCAGTCTCCATTAGGATCACTTGACATAAAGCGGTGTCTCAGGATACTGTTACAGCCTGTTTCTGTTTTGTCAAAAGGTCAAATCATATATTTCCACCTAGTGGAGACCTCTGAAGTCCATGGAATTTGCAAGACTACAATTCCCACAGAGCCAGCCTTTTAAGACACGCACATGGGCATTCTGTGTGGCAACAGCTACGAGACACAGTTCTAATTACGCTAAAATATAACAGTAAAACAGACCATCTATGTTTTCTATTTGGTCTTACTTGTGGCTGAGCTCATTGGCTGTCACGATGGTTTTAACTTCGTCCACTGCCTCGTTGAAGTCCTTGATGTTCTCTGAGGAGTAGAGACCTGAGGGGCTGTTGTACTGGTTGGTCACCACTGTGGGGCCGAAGCCGCTGAAGGGCAGAGCGCTCCTGTTGTGGGTGGAGCCTATGTGTTTCACCTCCTGTAGAAGAAATGGAAAATGGTACTGTTCAAGCTTTTTGTGAGTAACCAAGCATTGAAGTAGTGAGCGCAGGGATTTGTGACATAACTCACACACACTCAGTCTGAAACATGCAACACTCGCGGTGCAGCTCGATGCGATGGTGGTCACTACTTTTGACGCCTTTAGATGTCACTTTATCATAAACTTGCACATGTAGAAACATGCAGATGACTTCCTGTTATGACATATTACTCAATATCTGAAAACACCCAACCTCTGCTGTTTTCAACAATGAATACAAATGTTTTGCATCTGCACATTTTAGAAATGAAACTGTTCAGCTGAAAAATATTTGCGTCTTGAACTGCTGCTTCCAGTTGGACTCAGTCACACATCATTTAGCAGGGATAATGTAGACTGGGGATTTGGCCTTAATTATAGCGAATGCTTTTTAAAGGCAATTACGTCATGACACTGGCATCCCATGAAAGTGGCGCATGTAGCTCATGCTTCTCAGTAGGAACACGGAAATGCCTCCACAAATAGCTCATGCTTCAAGCATCTGACAATGAAATAGCAGAATATTCCAGAGTCTGAAACTGACACTAGCATTGACCAATAGCCCTAAATGTAAGAAGCATTGGTTTAAAGTACTAAAACAGTGAAGTGACAGACTCCAAACAAGCTTTCCAAACATGTGGAGTGACAAAAAACATCTGTGACACACACACACACACACACACATACACACACACACACATGGCCAACATGAATTCACACTTTGGCCGCAACTTTCCGCTCAGTGGGCAGGAACTGAGGCTTGCGTCAGAGTTGGCAGATAAACTACCGTCTCCTAGGAAACCTCCTGTTGGGAAGTAAACAATGACTTCATCACTGGTAGTATAAAAGAAAAGAAAAAAGAAAATCAGCCCACAAGGTTCTGTGGGCGCGGTGGGAAATGAACGTGCAGGCTTCCAGAAACTCTATGGCTACCTGTAGAGATTCCAGTTACAGGCTGAGTTAAAGAGGTATTCAAAGATGATTCTGTCTGATGTTGAGATGGTGGACACACACCTTTTGCTCTGCTGCCAGATTCATCTTGTACGGATGTGATCTCCCTTCCTCAGATGAAAGCGGGGACCACAATTTAGTTTCTGACCTGCAGAAAAGAAGAAGGACAAGATCACAACATTATCTTACAATAGCTTTAAATGCAACAACTTATCTTGTGTTACCTGTGTAGCGGCACAGAAATATACCATGCCTGTGTATTTCAATGCAACAGACCCTTTGCATGTTTATCATTTAGCTCTGACAGCTCACCCAACCCTGCATTCAACACATTCCCTCTTAATTTCAACAAACATATTTGTTTCAACCTGTCCATTACGACACCTCTGCTACTTGAAATCATGGTATGATGTCATGCACTGACGCAGTTGCAGATTTGCAACACAGCTTAGCATACACACATTTCTCAAACTCAAGTGCAACAAAAGAGAGACTTAAGCAGGATGAATAACCATCACGTCACTCCCTGAACACCTGGATGGCAGCTGTCTCGTATTACTCAGGGTTTTTCAGGCCCTGCGGCGATGCAGATCAGACTGGCACATGTAGCTACAGCCCACCTGTCTACGGAGAGCACCATCTCCTCGATGCACCCCTTGATCTTGTTCTGCGCCGCCAAGTGAGTCATGGGCTCAGTCGGTTCTCCGTCGATCGCCAGGATCATGTCTCCAATACACAGGTTGGCCTGGGCAGCTTTACTCCCTGGGGTGACCTACAACACAGGAGACATGATTAATGATAGGAAAACACAACTCTTTTTGGGCTGTATGGAAGCTGGCATACTTAACCCCTGGAACTGCAACAATAAATCAAATGATAGGTCAACAAAAAAACAACACCAACTTTTTGGACAATCTATTCATCCTTAAAGTAAAATGCTGTTTTTAGCCACTTAATATGGAGATGTTCTGCTTTTCAATGTTTTATATCATACGACATGTAAAGATATCAACTTAGAATTTGAGAAAACAGGATGGAAATGTCTTCATTTATTGATGTTTTATAGAGCGAGCGATAATATTTAGGCAAAAGTAAAATGTGTAAACTAATTGATAATGAAAATCATGGTTGGCTACAACCCTATGTGATGATTTGAGGTTGTACTTTTATTTTTTAAAGAAATATATAGAAATAACACCACTTAAGCAATACATATCTTGAATCATTAATAGGTGTAAACCACACCTTTGATTCACTGTACAGTCAGATATAACTTTATAGTCTGAAATCTTGTTTTCTAATCAGAGCTTAAATCGTACATAGTTTAACTCTGACCTTCACACACATCTCATTATTTACAGTAAACACAGACACTCGCATAGGTGTTTCAGATAGAAAACAGCATGAAGCAGAGGGAGATTCCAGCTCAGTCCAGGAATTCCTAATCACTTTTCCATGGGTGGAGTGTAGCGACCACGGTAACAACATTTACAACAGGAACAGCAGCCGACACTCAGACGAAGTACACAGAGGAGGCTCATACTCTGAGCCACTACTGACACAGGACTGTATGATGTGTAATAAAGATTTGCATTTAAGTTCTGTTGTGAAGTAACACAATGGGTTGAAAAAGCTCGAAGAGGCGTTCAGGGACACTCAGGGATGTCAAAAATAACAGATTCTTTCACCAACATAATACTTTTACTTTGAAATTATGACTTTTAAAATAATTATGACAGCTGAAAGTTATCAGAAAGTCTGCAGACACTATGAAATACCGGTAACGGTATACTTACACTACAGTGTTGTTTAACTTGTAGCATACATTTAAGTTTACAGTTAAGTAATGTATAAAAAAAACATAATTCACCAGCAACTGAAAAAAGATATCTCAAATAACATTGTAACTGAAATAGGGAAATAAAGCTACAACAAGTGCTCGAATTAAAACGCTGCAAAGTCATTAATGTCAGTAGCTGAAAGTACAACATGCCGACACTAACAATAATTCACTTTAGCTACATGTGTGACATTAGTTTATTCTCTATGAAGTAACGTTAGCCTTTTGTTAACACCAGCTAACTTTAAATAGCAGTGTGTCCTCGAGAGAACACAGCGCGAGGTGAGACCTTTTGTCGGCACAAACCCAGGTGTGGTTACACTGAGTTATGAAGGAGCAGCTAACAGTAACACTTACCCGGGAAATAGTCAGGGGCTGCTCGAAGTCCTTACCGCCAACCAGCCTAAAGCCCCAGGGTCCAGGCCCCTTCACGACTACCCGGAGAGGCATACCGTTAATTTAAGTTTTTAACCGAGTCGTTACGGTGTTCAAAGCTATGCCTCAGACCACCAGTTCACTTCCTACAGCATATGACATGTGCAATGATCGATAGGCAGAGTTAGAGCCGCAGCATCAGAGGAGGTGGACCCTCAGGTTACAGTCCGACGAGTAGATTTTGAAGTTTCCACGCTGATAAGTGAGAGTACACAGATCGTGTATTGAGAAAATGGATCACTCCATATTATCTATGGGGAACTGACCAGACTTTCATGGAAGTCAGGAGATTTGGTCCTAGTGGGAGAAAGAGCCCCAGGAACAGCAGTAACCTTTATATAACCATCCATTTGTCTTAAAAGACTAAATCTAGCAATTACTTAATCCTTATAATATGTACCCATGGCCAAATAAAGTGTATTCCTCTGGGCCAAAATCTATAAAGAAAAACTCATAAATGAGTTGCACTGGGTGTTAAAGTTCCCTTAAGACAATACACTTGGGCACTGTTTGTTTTTTGGAGTCAGTCCCACATACAAATGACTGCTGCTGTACATATTTAATTGAGTGTTAATCTTCAGGACTGCATCTAAAATAGTGTCCAATAAGCCAAAAACATACGTAACATTAGCTAAAAAACTGAACTGCAGTGCCCAGCTGAATTAAGGTAGCCTATGTTGGTAGTTTAAAAAGAAATAAAAACGTAACAATACATTTTGAAGTTAAACATCGAAGAGTGGAGAGCAAAGCCAGAAAGTGAGACAAACTGCATTGTTGGTTTTGGTCTATTCTTGGCATTTATTTACAACAAGAAAATAGGTTAAAGACTGACTCATCCCTAAAATTAAGAATAAAATGTTCTTCACACACACAATCAAAAATGCCTCAGACCTTTGTTTTTGTTCTGTCCTGATAAAATAAAAAACAGGAGAGAAAATGTTATCTCCCCCCCCTCTTCCCCATTGTTTTTGTAAGGACTCCTGTGTGTTATCACTTGATTAAAAAAGCAATGTGTGTCGAGAAAACACTGGCACATCAACACCAGACATCTGTTACTTAACAGGCGCACACATTAATTTTGAAACTTTGTTTTGAACACATTTTTCACCCACAATAGTTTGTATTTGAATGCTGATTGGGGGCTGTAGTTGAATAGCCTCATTTGGAATTAGAAACATTTTTTTTCTCAAACTGACCCCAAACCAGCAAATTACACAATAATTCAGCAATCATTTGAAACATGGTTAAGAACGTAAATAAATGTTTTAAGTTCTTATATGACCATCACTTAAATAATATCTTAATGGAGCTTAAATAAATAAATAATAAATATTCACTACCAAAACGGCCATTTGGGAGCTGTGTTTCCAAAGTTTAAATGCATGTATTTGAAAATAAGTGTTCAAATGACTTGAATTGTATTGAACAACGTATATAACTTTGTAAACAGATGTGTTGATTACGTTTTTTTTTCTGTTGTTAATTGCGTCCCCGATATACTTACATTTATTATTTAAGTATTTTTTTTTCATTTGTTATTCCTTCTTCTTCTACAATGCGAGAAAAACATGTTTCTTCACAAATTCAAGGTAAAACGGGGGGGGGGGGGTACCCACACTTTGGTTTGAAATACTTACTTTAGTTGCTTTGAAAATATGCCATTATATGTTATACTTTTCACCTCAATGAAAATAAACTAATACCGGAGCAGAGTGATCCCTCTCCACGATTTTCTCTTCTCAGATGAGCTCCTGTGTTTGTTTTAGGGATGTCGGCCTGCCGGTACGTCACCGTGTTTATATGCAAGTTTACCATTTATGGTAGAGCTAAATCCCAGGATGTGGAATGTGCCGCTCCCAAAACTTGAATTCCTGCCAGAGGATCTCTGTTGAAAGTGGAGAGAAAAAGCCCTGACCGAATGAAACACGTCCTCTCTTGTGGGCTGTACTTGCACCTTTAACAGGCCTTAGGGCAGCCACTGCAGACTGTAGGGCTTTAAAGTTAAGCACTTAACAATGCATAAGATCAAGTCAAAAGAAAAGTATCTTTCTTATGGCTGTACAAACACAGCTGTCAACATCAACACACTAATGGGATGTTACCCATCTGACAAAAATAAAAATGCCATAAGTATTTATGTACTGACAATGCAGAAGGAATCCTCTAAGATCTATTACAAGCTTATTTCGCCCTTGAACAAAAGACCATTACAGCTCCACCTTAAGCTCACATGAATGTGCGTCTGCTCATTACACAGCCACAGAGAATGTGTCTTCACATGCTCATAAACTTTTAGACTGCTGCATGACTTAACACCATAAGCATGTATAGGCTAAAAGAACTTTAAATGTACCTCTACCTCTGATATCATTCAGATCTTTCTGGAAATCAAAACAGGCAACACACCAAATGGTTTAAACGGTTTATTAAATATTGCATAACACCGAAGTCACAGCAGTGTATAGTTTATTTTAATATTGTCAATGTAACAGCACTGCAAAATGAAGCAAACAAACCAAACCTGTTGCAGGTTGTGCGTCTCAAACTAGTCCATTCTTATGATTATTAATCATTACGTTTAAAGCATTGTGTCACACTTTTAGGTACTTGCACAGTACAAGTTCTTAGCAAAATGTTCTCCCATCACAGAGACTAGGACTAATGGGAAAACCATGGTTATATTAAATATGTCATGAATACATTTCAGTGATACTCCCACAGAAATGAATGAAAATGAGGCACAATTTCGCATCTAACATAAGGCATTATGATCGTCACAAATGGCAGCGTAATGTTCATATGCGTCAAACTTCCTGTGCTCGGTAATGCTCCACTCTGTGCTTTAGCAAAAAAATCCTTCAGGTAAATAAACCGCTGCAAGTGACAGCAGTCCTTTTTTATTTTACATATTTACAAACCTTTGTGTGCCATGCTGCCTAATAGTCTGCATTTTTACATATGTATGCATTGCGCCACATTCATATATTCATACATTCATACATCCTGTGAGGTTTTCTGGAGCACGAGACAATCTAGGGTGAGTTGTGTTGTGACTAAATGTATATCAATCCATCAGATAGTTTGTTTCTTTAACACATTCATGCTAGGCCGGAGTTACACAGGAACAAGAATGTTTAGCCAGCAGTGGAGGGAAAAACATGCTTTGTGGTGTAACAAAATACCTGAATATGATATCAGTGCTATACAGGCAAACCCATAATGCAGCGTATTACCTTGAGAAAACATTCCTTTGCTATTGTTGGCAAAATTGTCAGTGGTGACAGGAAGAAACTCCTTAATTTGTCTCAACAGCAAACACTGATTGCTGCTAAATTTTGTTAAATTAATGCACTTTGTCAATTGTTAAACTTCATGTATCACTTATGGTAGTCACAAACAGCTTCAAACCATGTTCCAATCAGGTCAATGTTTATCATTGCTGCACAACTGTAACCAAAACATAATTTAAAAAAAACAAAGATATAGTAAACATACACTTTTAGATTTAGTGAGAGCTACTGTTTTATCTTTCAAAACTTCACATTACACTAAAAAGGAAGGCCTTCTGATAGTCTGGCACTGTTTGATTAGACATGTGTGGATTGGGGAAATGATCCGACTTCAGTCTAAAACTGTCTTTAAAGGGACAGTTCACTCAAAAAAAATAAATATATTTGATCTCCCTTAACTGTAATGCTGAGTTTGTGAGATGCGGAGTGTTGCAGATTTTGACCGTAAAGACGTCTACCTTCTCCCTAAATAACGGAACTAGACTAGGCTCAAAGTGCCAGAAAAATAAAATAGAAAACATCCAACGGAATGTCTCTTTACAGAAATCCTGTCTTGGCTATTCAAGATTATCCACAGTCCTTATTTGGAGCAGTTTCATGAAGGAACTACTTTCTTTCTACCAAACTACACCCAATAACAGTGTCGCCACGCAGAAGGAAGCAGGAAGCTAGCCTGAAAAGTAAACATAATGGCATCTTCTTTGGCTAAACTATGAATCGTGAATCGTCCATTAATAGATGTAAGCGTAGTGATTCGATAGAAAGAAAATAGGTCCTACATAAAACTACAAGGTCTTTGGATTATCTTGAGTAACTGGGTCCAGCTTTTTGGAAAGATACCTTGCTTTTGAGTTTTTGGGCACTTTTAGCACCATAGGCGTGCCATCTCTCTCTCGATTATGTTGGAGAGAAGGCAGACATCTTTACAGGTAATGTCTCCAACTCTAGCCCCAAAACCATCTAGATTGATACAGTAAAAAGGTAGGAGGAAAAACCTGCATTTTAGGATTTTGGGGTGAACTTTCCCTTTAAAATAACACTTAGCAATCACCATACAAACTGCCTCCCTCTGCAAGCCTGAGCAGGTAGTAACACGTGCTAAAACTTATTTGCAAGTGCTATTTGACAGCTCTGCTAGAGATTGATGAGCACAGTGCAGCGGTTGACGACAACAAGGAATTTGAGGAAAAAAGGAGCAGAGAAAAACAATGGCTATCATCTTTCCATATGTGCGTGTAGAGGATCTATTCTGATATATGGCGTGTGTTACGGGACGTGATGGTGCAGGAGATGTGGGAGCTCTGTTCTCGCAGGAAGACGGCTCTGATGCTCTGATAGCAGAACTCAAAGCCATCTTCCAACAGGGAGTTATTGAAGCTCAGAGAGCAGACAGTCAACCCTGTCATCACTGCTGTTTGCTTAAAGCTAACGGTGGCTAACATTCAGGCGATGGCTGATAGTTTCATGCTCCAATTGGATGGATTTATACAGTGCATGCTGACCTTATTATTTAAATCATTCCACTAACTGTATCCAAGTCATAACATATGAAAATATGTAGCCTTTGGAAGGCCTCTTAAAGTTTTCTGTACACATTTACATAGCTAAAACATACAATCTCGTCAGTAAGGGCATGGTTAAAATCTCAAAATGCTTTTAAAAAAAATCAGTATTTTTATTTTCTAAGACACCTTTTTGGCTTTACTTAAAACATGATTTAGTTCTTTTTGTGATTAATCTACTATTATGTTGTGCAGTGGAATCTCCCTAAATGACCAAACAGGGAGTTAAGTGCTACCACGCCTGTCTGTAGTTGCGTTGGAGCAGAGCGTTTACCACCAGCTACCTTACAGGCTTCACCCATCAGCAAACACTTCTATTAAATGATAAATAAATAGATTCTGAAAATATAGGATGTGCACATAGACGGTTTCTCTTCACTTTATCAGACATGCAACACAGTCCTGTATTTGTGTTTGCTGTGGTTACTTGGAAAAAGAGAAGCTAAAATCCCACTTTTTAAAGTATTAGTCGTAATATATAACAACTTTCAAATAGAAAATAAAGGCAATACTGAACTGGTATCTATAGCTTAAGGTTACACCGAGTTGTAAAGATTGAGATGTTCTGAAAATACTGACTTCTTGATGATTCATGAAATGTAACAGAAAGTAAAAGTTCATCAAACACAAGGCTGATTATTTAAACTTCAAGAGGACACTCATTTTAAAGGGGACCTATCATGCAAAATGCACTTTTGTACGTCTTTTATACATGAATATGTGTCCCCGGTGTGTCAGGGAACTCACCAAGTGTCAGAAAACACAACCCTCTCTCTTTTCCTCCATACCCAAATCTCTAAAAACGGGGCTGCAACGGAGCTGATTATTATTTGAATTTTTCTGACGTCAGAAAAGGGGTGCTCCGCCTATATGGGCAACTCTCCACCTATCAGGGGAATGAGAGACCGCTCGAAAGCACTGGAGGCGCTGTAGTACATATGCCAGGCCTGTAAGTAGCGCTGTAGTCTGCCACAAAAGCAGAATCAGCCCATGCAAAAACAGGGCTGGAAAAGAGCAAATAGAGCGAAATGAGGCATGGCTAAAATGCATGATCTGTTTGGTATTTTGAAAGAAAAACTTCACAGACATGTTTTATATAGGTATGGCCCTACAATATATTTCAAATATAGCATGATAGGTCCACTTTAAGTAATTTCCTCAGATCTAAAGTAACATTTCCTGTTAGACACGTATATAAAATTCATACATATATTGATCCAAACACGGTAGGTTTTCTTCTGGAAGCAGAGGCATGGTTTGTACTTAGCTAATCATAATAAACGCCTCTGTTCCTGGAAGGTAGCTCATGACAAACAGCTCCAAACACACGTCCCATAAAATTACATTCTGAATCCTCCCAAGTTGCGTTCATGAAATAAGATCCACTCTTTAATCCATACTCTGCTCTGCTGCCGGCCTCAGGACTGACGTGCTACGTGAACACTCATACTGTATATTAGTTGGACAACATGGAAGCTATTATCTGTACAATAAAAGCTACTTTGTGGTAGATTTTCACGGAGAAATTCCACATGTGGAGACGGATGATTTCTGTCAAGAAGTGTGTAAATTGTGCTCAAGGTGTACACCGTGCTGAGGTCTAGGCAGTGAGCGGCCTCTCTCTCCGTCCCCCCGCAGTCTGACATACCTCAGGATGAACTGATCACTTTCCCAGACAAAATGGATTCGCCCGGCTAAATGACTTTGCTAACCAACAGCCATGCACGATAGTAATGACTTCCAAAGCTTCACAGGCCACCATGTGTTACAGCCGACATCTTTACAGTTTCACCTCCTTCACGTAATTCCCAGGGAAAGTCCCAAACAGTTTTGTCCTCTTTGAGGTACCTGGAGAGAAAAAGAAAGAGAAACATGGGTCAGGCAAAAGATAGTAAAAGGATATTTTTCTCAGATTTAATAAAACGTTTAAACTGGTTATTATACAGTGTCAATTGAACACTGATGTCTGTCTATATGACCAACACAAGCTAACAAGATCATCAGCGAGAAGATTGGCTACTTCTATTCAGATATTCTAAATGCCTGTCACTGGGTCAGTTTGTAGAGAGCAATACATTACCAGTGATTACCCTATTATGCTAATGTTCAGCTTTAATTATTGTATTTTGTGCTCCTATTGTGACATGTCTCAATGTTTTAATGTGAAAAGCTCTTTATTTTTCTAATACGGCCTATGTTGCAGCACATTTTTTCACCCTCTATGGAGAGAAATCTGTAGGATTTTAGACTTTGCAGACCATTTACAATGCATACAAACCTACTTAACACACTACAGGAAAGGGTTAACCCCAAAAGGTTAAATGAGTCTACTGGGAAAGTTCCGGCAGAGATTAAAAAAAAAGGGGGACCATGAGAGAAAACAGATGGAGAAAATTGGAATTTGGAAGGATTCAGAACCATGTCTTTTTTCCACTAGACTGGTATGTAATATGTCTATTTGATTTATGAAATGAATTGCAAAATGTGGTTCTACATCAATATATACATTTAGTTGGTGACTTCAACAAAGAGAGCTAAAGCTTTAAAGCTTTCACCAGGTGAAGATCTTAACGACACATCCAGAGAAAACACTTCTGCTTTTGAACACAGGGGGAGTCAAGATCAAAACTAAATAAAAGTTCCTTTGGTTGCTTTAGGCATATCTAAAATTAAGTGCAAAGCCTTACGTACATTGCACTCAATCCTGTGCTGTCATTCTCTAGAAACCCTATATGGAAGGATGTGACATGGTGAAAACGACTCTACTTCTGCCCTGAGCATGCACACGTGTACAGTCCTTTGCTGTCATTCAGCAGAAACCCTATACAGATTAATGTGACACAGCGAGTATAACTGCGTCTCTGAGGAATGTTTCCCGAGGGCCTGTAGGCACATACCGACAAACCAACCGTCATCGCACTTCTCCATGACGCTGACGAGATCTCCCTCATGCAGCTCCAGCTCGTCTTCATTCTGAGGAACGTAACTGTACAGGGCCTGGAAACTGGAGCAGGATGCAAGGAAACATGTTGCAAAAATTACAAATCATAAAATATAAAAACTGAAATTAAATAACAAAAATAAACATGTTGTTTAAGTGAAATACAGATGTACTCACATTCCACAGCTCAGACGGTTGGGCTCCGGGCTGCTGCTGTGGGACAGGGGTTGCTGGGAAATGATGAGAGATTGTTTACTGGGGTGGGGGTGCAGTCGATTGACAGAGTCATGAGGGTGGTGGGACAGGTTGCTGCAATACCTCACCGAGGTCTCAGCTATATTCAAGATCTCATTACACACTGCCTCCTAGTAGGTGAAGTCGTCAGAGAAAGACAGACAGCGGCCCCAAAGGAGTCCAGTTAGGAGACCCCCGAGGTGGGGAGGTGAGGAGTTAGAGAGGGGGGGGGGGATGGGGGCGAAGGGCGAGACAGGAAGGTAGGCCCAGTAAGTAGCAAGGCAGAAAAGGAAGTGATCCGTTAAAAGCCGGGAGAGAAAGCAGAGGAGACGTTGGTGGAGCCCAGGAGGAGAGGCATGAAAAGAGCATGTAGACAGGAAACATGAAATATTAGTTCACTTTTTTACAGGATACCATTCATTATGAACATGCAGTGTTAGGGGGAAGATGATAGGTACAGCTTACAGGAAATAGCTTGGGTAAATATACTCATGGAAACTTTTTCTGTCCATTCAATATGAAGCTCAAATGAATAGCCAGTTAGATGAGCTAAGCATAAAGACTGAAAACTGGTGTACTGTAACGATTTGCAGTTTAACAGGGAGTTGTGTGTATGGTGAGTGACAATGTTGCAAACTAAGCAACTTTTAAGACCCTTCTAGGGTCTTTCATGTTTAGGTGTGTAGCAGTTAACCTCCAAATCCAATGCTTTTTGTAAAAAATAAACAAACAAAAAACCAATGAACATGTTATGATAATTTCAAAACTATAGTGGCACTGATAGTTGAATTCTATAAAATATGGACAAAAGCAAGGTTTCCCTGTTTCCAGTTATGCTAAGCTAACTACTTCCAGCTTTGTACTGAAATACAAAATGAAGACGACATAATGAAAGTTAAGGATGATATGAGTTATATGAAAGGCGATGGGTTAAATGGTTATTATACAGATTATGAAGTCATTTAGCAAACTACAAAATACTTAATATTTAATAAGAAAACTCTGCTCCTCCTTACCGCTAACGAGTTGACATTGTTGTTGTCTTGGATGTCAAACAGCATCACAGGGCTTCTGGAGCTGCGTCCATGATGTTCAGCCTCATCCCTCACAAACTGCAACACAAAATAAGTCAAATCAGCAAGGACATTACAAAATAAAAGTTTTTCTCTAAAGCTCCGCACCATGTATCCACCTGCTGTAAACTTCATCATACTTGAGGTTACAGTCAGGTTGCATTACCCTGTAGGGGAACATTTCAACCTCGCAGCAGCTTTTGAAACACAAGCTAACATGTGAAACCTATAAATACTAACTAATAAATATGTCACTGTCCTAAATAAACTTCCAAACTCCAATGGCATCACACCTCTTCAAGGCAAAACAACAACATGCAACCAAAGACTGGATTTTATGAAGAGGAAGACACTTGAGCTCTCAAATAAATCCTTTTAATGCCAGAAGAATAGCTCCTATTATATTCCTCTTATAGCTAAGAAACCTAAAACGTACTATGTAAACACTGAAAAAAACTGTAAAACACTTGCATGTTAGTAGCAAACACTCCATAACAACAACATGCAGACTTGCAGCTTTAAGCCGTGTGCTTATTCTGTCTCCATATTCATCCTAAAATCAACTTCTGGTTACATCTAAGAGTTAGTCCAATTTCCACACACAGATATCAGCCTCAGTACTTCATCAAACATCTTATTAGAGAATTACACTGTGGCCAAAGCCCATGATGCAACACTGCACACCATGCGGAAGATACCTCTACAGGGCTATTTCGCCTGCTGCCCGGGGCTGCGTGGCCCCTGTCCCCCTCTGTGCCTTCCCCCTCTGTCAACTCCTTCTCCCCCCTCAACCAGCCCTCCAGCACCGGCCCTCCGCAGGGGCTCATGCTGGGACGGAAGCGAAGAAAGTCCTCCACCTGAGGCGGGGTGAACGTGAGGAAGGGAGTGGTGGAGTTGGGTCTGGGCGGGTAAGGCGGGGGGAGAGGGGACGCGGATGGGGAGGCCATGGGTGAGATACCGTATGGGCTGCCGCTGATGAGGGGCACAGGGCTGGCAGAGTAGGGCGGGGGCAGGTACTCGCCGCAGCGATATGACACGGTGGGCAGCGGCGGCAGGGGAGGGGTGGGTGCGGCGGGGGGGCTCCCGCCTCCCACAGTCAGGGAGATCCACTCAGAGGAGATAGCGTGGACCTCGGGGGACACGGAGCGGCGGGGCGAGCGAGGGAGGGGCAAGGGGGAGGTGGTCAGACGATTACGGTACAGCTTATAAGAGCAACGTTGGAGGAGATGGAAACGAAGAGGGGATGAGAGGAAGAAAAGGAAACGGAAGGTGAAAACATATTTAAATTAAAAGGGGGGGGTCATGGTGAACATAGAAGAGAATTCACAGATTCACAGATTTGATTCCCATTCTTAATGTACCCGTAGGGTTCCTTACCTGAGGGGAAGCATTCAGGCTACGCTGTGGCGACTGGCTGACAGGAGGGTCCAGGTAGTCCACGCCATTTTTGATGCGGGGTCGTTTGTTCACTTCTACGTATGTGACGGGGAAGATGCCTTGGCGGTTGGTGCCAGCGATTTTCCCTTCATACCAGTTTTCATCAACTCTGCGAATCAGCGTGATCCTCTCCCCCTGCAGACGCATATTTGTTGGTTGAGAAACATGAGAAACATGAGTAACAAAGGTTAAAAGCATCTAGATGTATACAACAATCCTGAAAGTTCCTTAAATGTGTTTCTGATTGCTCTTCATCCTCCCTCCATACCTTTCTGAAAGACATTTCCACCACCGTGTCCCCGTTGAAGTTGAAGCGTGCGAGAGCCTCTCCGTATTCCAGTACCTGCACTTGGGCACTTTTCTTTGGCTGGGCCTTCTCTGTGGGGGGAAGGAGCTGAAGAAAGCAAGAAATAATGCAAGTGATTACTGAGTAAGAAAATCAGAAGAGAACACATTGTGCAGTAGAGTGATTATGCAAGACATCTCCAACACTGCAATCGGGTAATACAAATGATATGTATGGTGAAATAAATGTTAATGATGAACTGAGAGAAACACTATTTAAAAGACTTAGTTGCTCTTCTTACATACCTCTACGTAACTCTGAGGGAAAATGCCAACTCTTCCGTGGTGTTCCCCTTCATACCAGTTTTGATCCACCTGTCGAATAATGAAGATGATGTCTCCCTTCTGAAACGGTAACTCCCTAGAAATGTTCCAAAGAGATTAGTTGTAATGAAAAAAGGACCATACAGTTGTACGTCAAAATGAAGCAGTCCCGGCGTCGTATTTGCACTTTGATGCTACTTTGATACTAAGGCAAATCTAATACATATATATACCTCAAACACATGTGTTATATAGAACATTTTTGATTGGCCCACATATAAACCAATCGCTATTCAAAAGACATCACGCAAGCAAGTTTGTGTGCATTGCACTCTGAGTTCTTCTGAGTTTGGTGATTGTGATTCTACTATTCTGAACAGTGATTTCCTGCGATTGTATGATCTGGCATAGTTATGTCAGATGTAACCCCGCCTGTAAGATACATTTTAATACAAGAAAATCATTATTTCAACAAGGTCTGTACAATTGTAAAATCTACTAAAGATGCTCATATAATAGCAGCATCTTAAATACCTTTAGCCGTCATGCAATGACACTCAACATCTCTGCAACAAAAACATTTTTCGTGAGGCTCTTAAAAGATTACTCACTTTAGAGTTTCTGCTCTGAAGTCGAAGCGAGCCATAGCTGGAGTTCTCTGAAAAGATATATAATACAAATGATTCACTCGCTTAGAATGTACAACATCATACCTGTAGATTCTATCGTAAAGTCAGTTTAAAGACTGAACCCTATTATTCCATTACACCTTTGTCACTTTTTGGTAACTATACTATGATGTTTGTGTATTGGGAAAAGATTTTCAAGGAATGTGTTGTAAGCTGTAAATCTGCCTGAGTTGTCCTTCCTGTGCCCCGTGAGAACATTACTATTCTCACGGGGCACAGGAATGAGGTGCTTGTGACTGACTGGGTTACTTGTCCTCTGGAGCATGTCCAGTAAGAAACTACTGGGGGTTGTTTACTGTGAGACCGGTCTGCCAAGGGAGCAGGCCCACCTCAGTAAACACAACAAGGTTGCAACTGATACCAGTGACATGGAAATAGAAAAATAGAGTAGAGTACTTTTTAGGTGCAAAAGAGAGACATTTGTCTTTTTATCTCCCAAACGGTACATTTAAGCTGCAGTTTGTAACTTTAATAAAGCTTTTTGGTCAGATACTGTATGACCAAAACTGTCATTACATTCTGACGATGCTGCACGAGGCAGATCATCTATGTACTAAAAACTAAATACACACATTTCTGTGTGGACGTCTTGCTATACACTCATTTATTTATTGTCTAGTTTTCTATATTTGAAGTCGGGGGGAAATTGAAGTGTTCATGAAATGGACTTTACTGTCTCATGTTGAAGCTGTATTTGAAAATGTTTGGGGACGATGTAAAACACAATCTAAATGGTGAGGACTAAATCAAGGTTTTAAAAAAAAAGAAACAGCTAAGATATGTATCTGGTAAACAGTGTGCAGTCTGGATATTTAGTGATAAGTTCACCAACTCATATTTTGATTTCCATCACTGCTCTCCTCCCTGTGAGTTTTTGACCCAGAAGAGAAAGCCACCTGTGTCTGTAGGAACCCCTCTGTCAACCCCCCACACCCTGACTCACACGCAAACTGACCAAGCATCTGCTGCTTTTTTCCTGCTTACACAAGGATAAGAGGCGGCCCTGTATTGTACCTCTACGCCTGATTTCCTCTTCTCCGTGTTATCTGTGATGTTGAGCAGGTCTCCGAAGCGCTCGTTGGTGATGAACTGGTGGTGCGTGGGGACATTGCCTGTGTGTCGTCTTGACGCCGTGTCGGCCTCTTCCTGTTCCCGCTTCAGCCGCCGCTGCTCCTCCAAGATTTTCTGTCAGGAAACCAGACGGAAGTGTTTGTTCCCTGCAGATATGGGTCTCCTCTGCTCTTTTATTCATTACACACACTCTTTGTTATGTATAATAAATGATTTCCTCATTCATAACACAGCTCTTTTGAATAAAGCATTGTCAGTGGGGTGTTATTTAGGAAAGTTTGGCTTGAGTTTCAAAAAGTTTACCTCTTTGTCCCCATGACGCCTCCGCATTACTTCATCCTGGCTCTCCCCGAGAACTGGGGAAGAGTCTGAAACAGAGACAGAAAGAAGATTACGCTGTGAAGATGTTTACTCTATAGTAACAAAAAGAAATGTTTTCTAATAGAAGATGATGATGATATTGCAGTCAACTCCTTAATTCAGATGAAAAAAACAATACAATAAATACAACTACGCATGCCTTGAATGAACACCATAATCTCAAAAGAAAAGCACACACACACATCCAAAAAGCCAAATCTATTCCTGCATGCACGTAGTAATGAACACAGAATGATCCGATGTGTGTTCATGGAAAAATAAAATGCAGGAAAGGAAAATATGAGACCTACTGTGTCTAGGCCAAAGGAAAAACATGACATTACTGATCAACCAACCATCAGTTCGTTTACTGAAGTTTAGCTAGATATCTCCATGACTTAATTTGTCCCCCACACAACCAAAGATGTTTCATTCTGTTCCCTAAATAGTAACTATCAATGGCTCAGGTTTGTGTCTGATGCGAAAAGAAATCCAATCAGGGAACATCCTGTCAGGCTAAAAACAAACCTTTCATGGTGAAAGAATGAAAGATGGCAGATGTAAGTTGTTCCCAAAACAGAAAAATAAAAACAGATACATACATGGTGAGACATCAATTTGAGAGAGCGTATGCAATGTTATATAGAAATATCCCGCTTAAACATTACAGAGGAATGCTCAGAGTTTAAGGCAAAGCTTTTACAATTTGATGTAATGAACAAATGACTCATAGTAGATGTTAAAGAAGGCAAACAACACTTCCCATCTACTTTTATCTCACACCATAATGATGCAATAAAACAGATTTGCAATAAAACACAATTGCTCTGTGTCGGTGTAATGCTTATGCAGGCACTAGCACTCTTGCATACAACTCAAATCTGATGTCACCAGGAGATATATACTTTACCAAAAGCTGTCTGAACCTCCTACAGTCACTGAGGGGTTTTGATGCGTTTGTGGGGACCATACTCATTCAAGTGAAAGATGGGAGAGCACCAAACAGCACACTGACACAATGAGATGGAGAGGCTTTCTTGTCACTTTGTAAACACAGCACACAGACTACAGATGGAAGGGGGGGGGGGCAGGCGGCGTCACTTTGTGGAGAAAAGGGACACAAGGTGAAGAGAGAGTCGAGATAAATGAGAGATCACAGAAAGGGGGGGAAGAGTGGTGAAGGGATGGAGATAGCAACCTCTGCGGTGAGCGGCCGGCGGCTGCAGGAGGTTCCCGTTGGCGTCCAAGCCCTGCCCGTTACTCAGATGGTCCGTGGGGCTCCCCTCCCCGTTCCCCAGCCTCTCCAGGACCTCCAGGGAGGAGAGGCGCTGGGGGATCAGGGGCCTGGGCTCGGGGGAAAAAGCGCTGGGCCTCTGGGTGCTCGTTGTCACCTTGGTGGCTAACAGGGTCCTACGACTTTGGTGGGATTGCAGGTTCTTCCGTAACCTGAAAGGAGCAGGGCCCATGAGCAGGAGGTTCCCGGGCAGCGTGGTCTTCTTCTCCACAGGGGGCGGCTTCTCCTGTTGGCTGGTGGCCTGCTGCCTCTCGTGCCTGAGGATGGTGGTGAAGCGGGTGTAGGAGGCGGGGCAAGAGCCTTTGCATTTGCTGGGTTTGAGGAGTTGATTGTTGAGGTGGTGTAGCAAGTGGTGGTGGTGGAGATGGTTGTGTTGCGGAGATGCTGGAAGCTGCATGGAGGGACTCTTTGATACATGTTGGTGGATCAGTTCTGGGGCTTTACTGAGGATCTGCTCGACCTCCTCCTCAGTGTTAGAGGGTGAATCACTCCTGACATGTCCTTCCTGTGAGGAGGGGCTCACATCGCCCGGTGACACGGTCTCCTCCTCACATCTCTTGCCCTCTGCCTCCACTGGGGTGCAGCGGTCCATCTGGGTGGCGTCAGTTACCAAAAGGGACTCCGCTGACACTGCAGAGGCCATGAAGAGCTGGGCGGTGCTGTGGTCGGGGCTGTGGCCGGAGTTCAGGGTGGGCATGGAGGAGGAGCGGCTGGGCGCGGAGCTAGACCGCTGGATGATCATTTCGAACTCGCTGACCCGTGACGACACTGCCTCCCGTGGAATGTCACCCCCATCATCTGCCTCTGACCTTTCACCCCCCTCGGCTTTTGACTTCTCGAAAAGAGAGGCCAGGTTGCGGACGCTGCCGTTGGGGCTGCAGCCGGCCGAGCTGGGCCGCTGGATGTGGTGCATGCTCTTGTACAGGCTGGAGAACTCTGAAGCGCCCCTCCTGATTGTGGGGGAAACATTCCTGAAGCGGTCCCCGCACTCTGAGCTGGAGTCTGCATAATGCTTGCTCTCCCTTTCCTCTGCTCCGGAAAAGTCTGTGTCACAGGGCCCCGTGTACAGCTCTTCACAGCTGTGGGCCTTTGGGTGCCGGACAGCTTTAGTCCTGCTCTCCTGACTGTCACCACTGGGCGGCAGCAGCTTGGGCTTGAATTTAGAGGGCAGGATTTGGGGTATACAGGCTTTGGCAGCAGAAAGAGGCTTCATACTCTTACACTGGCTACCGATTGCAGTACTGGCAAGAACCGATCGACTATTTACAGAGGAGCAGGGTGAAATTATATAGCCATTCCCACCTTTATAATCCACTGGCAAGCATGCAGGACAACAGAATAAACAACATATTAGATTACAATGGTCACAGGATCACACACACTAGAACATAGTCAGACACATTTTTAAAGTAAAGTCTGAGTTACATTAAAAGTAGATGAGAAGAGAAAGCACACTTGATGCCTTGTGCATCAAGTTATAGATGTTAGACAGCGTGGTGCTGCAGTGAAGAATTATGCTTTGTAAAAATGAAACAAGGGGAAATGTAGTGTCTAACACATTCTTGCAATATCAATATCACTGTCAACAGAAATATAACAAGTGGAATATAAAGTATTAAAACAGCAATATGCCATGAAATGTTATGTGATGTTGGAGGTCGTATAGGAACACGGACTGCGGTATCAGTACACTTAACAACAAAATAAATACAATCATTTCAATCTTTTCTGCGTCTTATTCATATTTTTTCCGCAACATGACACCTGACTGTTCCTCTTTAACCTCCTACATATATTCTTCTTCTACTTTTAGAAATAAGACAGGCGGCTGCAGTGATAAATGCCCTGTAGCGCCCCTGTTAATACACTGCTCCCCTACACGGTCGTAAATTAAAAATGTATCCTGAGTCAACCTGCCCAGTAAAATATGACTGTCAAACCAAAATACTCCCCTCAGTTCCTATATGCAGTCTATGATCAGTTCCTCCCGATTGTACACTCGTGACAGCACCACAGATGGAACCTGGAAGTGACACAACACTTTCACATGCTGTGAGACACTTCTGACCCATCTGTCATATCTACCAGAAAAAAAACACACTGAGGAAGTAAACTAGATATACTACGGCACTGCACGTCTGATAAGCCCTTGAGGAAGCTCAGTTCTTCAAAGGACAAAGAATAAAACAGATATTTTCTTAATTCAGGAGCACAAGACAGAAACACATGATGAAGTGTTTAGTTTCTAGCACTTTGGGCCGAATGCTAATAAAGGAGCGTGCTAGTCAGTTGACTGTGCCCAGTGCACTGAATATTCCTACTTTAACCGGTTAAAGCAACTGTCTTTATACATCTTTTTTTTGTGGAAATTTACAAAACCTTTTCTCGGCGTGGACAGTTTTTAAAGTGACATCTGCTGCGTGTCTTCCTAGACGTAATGACATGTAATGAGTCACACTGTCCCTTCCTTTCTCTACCTTACACCTCTCCTCCCCCAGCGTTTCTCTCCCTGGCCATGTGCGCAGGCATTCCAGCCCCTGACCTCACTCTGACAGCTGACTTCCTCATGCCTTCCCACCCTCTTTGTCCCTCCTGTTTATCTCACCCCTGTCTGTTTATCTCACCCGACCCTCCTCATCCATCCCCTCTCTGGCCCTCCGCTCCCTGGCGCTGGAACGCTCTGGAGTCTTGCCCTAAGCCTGCCTAGCGACTGGCGGGTCACAACTGGAGCAAGAGGTGAGGGTGGGAGGGGGGTGGTGGGGGAAACTCTCCAAGGTTAGCTTCCATCGACTTAGCGGGACAACCTCACTCCCTCAGTGAGTTTTCCAAAGCAGATGGCCGGTACTTGTTTGATGGAAACCAATAATAAATCAAAAGAAGCTGCAGGGGCGAATGAATGCATCGATGCTGTGAGGTCTGGGAGCAAAAGAAAAATGTGTGGATTCCAATGGAAAGGTAAACGGAAACACATGTATCCCTGTCTGAGCGGCTTGACTTGTCCGCTGCTAATTGGTTCTGACTCAGCAGGAAAGACCTTTAATGGCCCGCTGTCCGGTCTAGATCCACATCCATAAACATACACACACCTGTTCACTGGCACATGTACGAAGTGGCTCTTATCTTACCTTTAGAGGAGGAGGAGCTGGCTTGGCGCTTGTTTAGGGCCCGTAGACCTTGTAAGGGGATGTCGCCACCCTCCAGGACACTCTTGTAAACATGGCGTTCGCATTCTGGAGCGCCGGGCTCACTCGAGGATGATCCTCCGTCCTTCTCCACCTCACTGTGTCCAGACTTGCTCGAGGAGCTAGACAGCGGTGAGAGGAACACAGACAGCTAGTTAAACACAGTCAAATTCATTCAAAGGAGTTCAGTTACATGTGTTTTATGATAACCAGAGGCACACAAATTGGGTAACGAGCTCTCATATGGTTCTTGTTTAGCATATCTTGAGGTAATTCCGGGCTTAGCAGACTTGTGGGAGACAGAATAATCAGAAACAGACAAACTTGAGCAAGAAAAGTGCAGAATTGGGAGGCTGTTGAGAGAAGGCATTAGCTACCACACATATCTTGGCATTCCAGGGAGGCCAAAGGGACACATTTCTAAAAATATTCTCTGAACATTCCCACATGGTGCATCAGCTCCTGCCATGCACCTGTACAACTGTCAGGTTTACTCTCTTTCACATGCCGCTCACGTGTTGCTCACGCTGCTCCTTTTATTCGTGCAGACAAACACGGCCGTTAAACTGACCGACTCAGGTATCATCTAAAAAAACAACACATTTTCACTTGCGTCAGGAAATGTATTTTCCAAATGTTTTTTACACCTGCAGTTTTGCCAAGTCGGAGTCTTTACAAGCTTGCACAAATGTATGGATACATTACTCGCCTTGTTCACAACCTCGACACAAAAAGCTCTTTCATAGCGGTGTGAGCGCACGGCTGACTGCGGAGAGCCGTTAAAATCATGTTGGTTCTAGGTCACTTTTAAGAATTCACATAAATGCTAGACAGGAAGTCAGCAGGTCAGGAGCCATGCGAGGTGTAAGGACAATCTCTTGGGAAGGTTCAGGTTAAATCGACAGTATGCCGTCTGAATGCTATAATGAACTGTAATGTTTATCTGGAATGATGAGGAGCTCATTTAAATGCCAGTGGCTGAGCATGGACTATCACCACAGCTTTTATTGTGAGGCCATACAAACAATTTGCGACCACTAAGCAAAGCCTGAAAACACACATTTTTACTTAATTAATTCATCTAATCACTACACTGACACATATGGTTTTGCATTTTACAATTTTGATTATATATAAACAAGAATGTTCTCTGATTTCAAACAAACCCCAGAGAAGAAAAAAACCCATCCTGCCATAAACATATGTGCCTTTGAAGGAAGTTAGTTTATGACTTGAGGTTTCCTTTGAGAAGATTGGTTGAGTTCCACCAGGAACCTCTTCCTTCCCAAATTACCAACAAATCAATGGATTTAAAAAAGTAGGATTGGGAATCTTTTCTCAAACACTCGGCCACGATGACATAATGATTGTAGCAGATGGAAAGTTCTGAGCAGAAATGGAGGGAGGAAGTTTATTTTCCCTGGGCTGTAGCGGAGACGCTCAGTCCTAAATTCCTTACATTTTATTACGCATTCAAAAATAGAAGATGTCAATCTCATCGTACAAAAACAACAAAGATCAAGGGCTTGCTAATCTTTGTTTTAGCAGCAGCCAGCATCCTCTTTCATAATCCAGTTGCCGCTCACCGTTCTCACACACACACACACACACACACACACACACACACACACACACACACACACACACTTAATAGAGCCAAAAAGAGACACAAACGCTCACACACACAGAGAAAACATTGTAGAAACAGATCATTATAACAATGTTATAAAGACAAAGAGCACAAACACATTATACTAAAGGAAATAAGCTGCAAGCACGAAGTGAGTGAATAATGTTTGAATGGATACAAAAGTAAAAGTAGTGCGTGTTTCCAAGCAGATATTATCCTAAAAACACTGGCGTGGTCTCTCAGCGTGTTAGCACCCACTAGCATTTTGAATGGTTTAGTGCAAACTAATTTTAGCCCACTGTTTCTGTTGCTTTCCTCTTTTCAGACGTCACAGCAGGTAAAAATAACAGACGTGACACGGGCACTATGAATAAGAGCACAAGTGTTGTTTGCAAATACGATTGCACAATCCCCATCCCAGCCAGCCTGGCCCTGCTGTTAATACCACATCCACTTCCCCACGGCGCGGCCAAGGCTCCGCTTCCACGCACCGATGTCCAGACAAGGAGCATTCTCCACAGCCACAACATGCCTCTGCACTTAGTTGCCAGGGCAGGATGATCATTTATAACCTTTCAGAATAAATGCCGATCTTTACACGAGCAGAACATCAGGCTGCCAGGTCTATAGTCTCATCTATTTATAAAGCCAAATGTTCCATGTCGGCTCGGGGGAACACGCCAGTGTCATTGAATAATCTGCAGCTCTTCCTCCTCTTGTATCCCCCCTCTTCAACTGATATCAGGGGGAGAGGATAGTGTCCTCTTGCATCCCCCTGGGTAACTGGGCTTAAACACACACAGCATCAGTGGAAAGTAAACAGGAAACAAGCATGGAAGGCTCTGGAGTAAAGGAATCTTAATCTGGTTATTTACAAGATGCCTGATTAGTGTCACTTAATGAACTTTTTCTTTACATAAAACAGTTTGAAACGAATCCATACTCTGATGTCCTTTAACATCCCATAGCTGTGACACTTTTTAGGAAGTTTATGACATAAAAGGAGGACATAGAATAAAGAGATATGCCAAAACTGTTATCAGATAAAGACACACATAAAGGATGGATCTCTCTTAAAGCGGTGACATATCGAAGCTGTCAATGGACAAGAGTGCAGGCCTCGGTGAGTCAGTGGAACACTGATGACAACGTTTCTGCAGAATTTCCTGTGCATGTTTCCTAACAGGTGTCTACTCAGAGCTGCTTTCATATTCAAAATAGCGATCATGAGTAGGTCATGGTAACATGAATCTCATTCTTTCCAGACAACACCGCATTTGTGTTGATATGTACTCATGAAAACAAACAGCTCCCCCAGTGTGAAGGGCCTGTTATAGCCGTGAGCGCCCCTCCCCTCATCTCCGCTAAATGCTTAAAGGTAACAGGCTAAGTGTGCAGCAGAGGTTAAATATGAAAGCACAATGAGCTGGCGGGTTTACAGAGTTGCCTCCTTTAGAATATGTCAGGTCGCGGTGGATGGTGTGTGTAACTCAGCGCTGAGACAGTGTGGCAGCAGCCCCTGCGTCAGCATATGCCCGACAGATGGAGTCACTCTGTCGGGTGCAGAGGGCTGAAATGCTCTTCCTGACCGGAGCTATGCGTGGAATTCCAGCTAGCCATGTATATCGATGAGCCTGTGTTTGACCGTAACTGTCACCAAGTGTGTTTCCGGACTTAACCCAGAACTTGTTAATATTAATCAAGAGGACCATTACTGTGATTAATACACACAGGTGTCAGTCTCACTCAGTGGCTATTAGGTGACTGGGAGTGGCCGCTGCTGGACGAGGAATGATGATTTGACAGGAAAGAAGAAGAGAAAATAGTGCAGTCTTGTTGGATTATCTACTGTGTAACTTACACTAAACTCGCTCTTTAGAGGCATTTAGTTGACAACTGCCTAATTAGCAGTGAGAAACCACGAGAAGATGTTCTAAAGATGTGGGTCAGAGGAACTGTGAATACTGTCAATATGCTTAATTAGTAGAAGTTAACAGGTTAATAATAACTTAATAATCTTTTTTTAATTTTAATTATACCTTTAGTTGAAGTTACAGTAGTGACAACAAATATGCTGTCTCATTTGTTAGTGGTGAGATAATATACCAAAACATTCAAACTTAAAAGGAGTTTACAGACATTTTTATCACTTTTTTTTAACCAGGCAATATCGTATAATTAAAGTTTTTCTTAAAGTAGATTTTTTTATTTTTGTCGAAATGTGTCTCTACCTTATTTAATTTGAGTTGACTATAAACGTCCTGATCAGAACAAGACCTAACTGAAGAAGAAGATAATTTAGTCTTTAGAGTGTTTTTGCTGGTTTTAGTTTAGTTTACTCAAAAATATTGTATTTTTTTTATATTAGTTTAAGTTTGTGTCCGTTAGAGGAAAGGTGTAATGTCAAGAAGCAGGTAGCTACATATGCATACAAAATACATTTTTTTTAAACTGTGCTGTTTTCTTTTTCAGTAGAGATATATTATACCAACAAATAAAACTGAAGGGAGCTTAGATTTATATGGGTTTTCTTTAACAGGCAATATCATATTAGTTCAGTTTTTCTTATAGGATAATGTTTAAATTGTTTTGATTGCTTATATTTGTAATAACAAACCTGATAAGAATAAGAGACCTAACTGAAACAGAGCCCTGAAAGGCCTATCCCTCTGTTAAACCACTGAGCACTGTGGTCAGCAGCCATATCACCCCTTCAGTAATACAGACTGAGTACCGATATGTCAATCAAACTCCAATGAGCCAGAGTGTCTGGCTGGGCCTTAAGGTCAAATACTGCGCATACCAGGTGCAGCTTTAGAAGTGACTTTGACATTAAACAGGAGCCAGTCATCAAGCCTGGCAAACATCTCGGCTGCCATGAGACAGAGTCCGCCCGGTCGCCTCCACTGCTAAACCTCCTCCACATATACCCTAACCTGGAACAGGAGACCCTGCCTCTGCGTCTGGCTGATGCTAGGACATGACCTCATGTTGAGTTAGTGGTGCCACCTCATATGATCCAGGGTGTGGCGGTGAGGGTAAGCAACATCTGCTTGTGGGCAGCCAGCGCCACACTCAGCTGGTGCCAACCGAGGCCCGAGGCATGGATTTGGCATGACATTGACACAGTATACTGCTGGAGCATGCCTGTGCCCGTTTGGGTATTTTGGTTAATAAACCAGATAGCAGACAGGCAGCAATTATTATATCAAGGCCCTGGGATTCTTTGGAGACTGAAGCAGCCTCTCCAAGTGAAGAGTGACTTCTGGACAGTGGTGGAATATAGCTAAGTACCTTTACTCAAGTAATGTACTCTCAAGTAGTAAGTACAGTAACGATTTGTGTCCTTAACTTTATAACTAGGTATTACACCTTTTACTTCTTCTCCACAAAATCTCAGAGGTGAATATTGTAGATTTAACTGTGTTTCTTCTAGTAACAGCTTAATTTGATATTTGAAGTCCCCTTCCTGTCCAGTGAAAACCATGTAGCTTATCTCTAGATTTGTTGAGTTTGAATGTTTGTGATAAACTGAAAGAGGAAGTGCTCCTTTATGGGATGAGAGAAATATCCTACTTTTAATCTAAACAATTTGAAATGCCTTTAAGAAGAGTTATGAAAATGCAGGGCTGATTTTCTGACACAAATCCTCAATTGGTACATAGGGTTATTTGAAGGAAAGTGAAAAAGCTACAAACATTTAATTGAATATGGAGCATTTCTATAGTTTAAACTACATACAAAAGCTGTGATATTGATCCAAAAACATCACATAAAATGGTAAGATACTGACAGGGTAATTTTTTTAAATATACCTACACAACTTACTACTGCTTATACATTGGATATTTTAACTTCGATTAGCTGACACTATTTAGATAATTTGACTTAGGTAAGGTTTTAAATACAGAAATGGTACACTTAGTATAGTGTTGTGCTTTACTTTTACTTTAGTAAAGGATATGAATCCTCCTTCCACCACTGCCAGGCTCTAAGTGTTATGATATGTTCGGTAGCTGGCAAAGAGCACATACAAAATGAACAAAACAATGTCTTTCTCTTGGGTGTTGAGTTAACAACATTAAAAAACAGGGATGCCACAGTTGGCAAGAGATACAAGAGCCTGTTGTAAAGAAAATAGGACCGTGAAAAACAGCACTGATCATTTAAGTGATTCTTCATCATGGACACCTACTGGAGTATTACGAATGTTAATCAACAATCAGCCTAAGTACATATTAGTTATTGAAATGGCACAGAGCTAAAGCCACAGATAATGTCAGAGCGTTTTCTGTTGTCTGAGCTGTTACATACACATTGCTGACACTTTTAAAGAGGTCTCAAATAGATCTTTATAGAACACAACCAGACACACACATTCTTTTAAATTGTATGAAGGAATGATAAGGAATGAAAGCATCTATATAAAGGGCTTTTAAAAAAAAAAAGATTGCTGATTGCTGAAAAAATAGGGATGCATAAAATCAGTAGGAGTCTCATTAGGTCTCACATGGTAGTACATTTAGTTCAAGAGGAAACACGTTTCCTCTTATACATGCCGTCACTTGTTTGATGTGCTTGAGAAATAAAGACAATATTCAGAAAAATATTGCAAGTGAATTTGGGAACTGGAGTATCCTTACAGACAGACACAGTTTGTTTAGGCATTATTTGAACATGGATGTTATCACATGCAATAAAATATACTGCCATTTTTAAAACATCGACCACTTACCCCTTTCTCAAACTCCATCTCTGAAAAGAATTTATACCAAGGCTCATTCTTTACATTTACATCTTCTGGATTTACATCCTGAGTCTAGGGGCACGGCAACGAGAAGAGGAGGAGAGAGACAAAGAGAAGACAGTTCAGACAGGACAGAAAACACACCAAGAAAATGAGAATAATACATATTATATAGTTTGGCTTATGTTTGTACCCAACACCAGAAATGATCAGTAATACTATAGGTGTTTTCATTAAGGAAGCTAGCTACGGATTTTTTTACATCACAGTAAATAAAAGGATAGATTCAAATGTATTATTTTCGTCGAAAAACTATTAGTAATAAGTAATATAAGTAATAGTTTGCTACTTTTGAAAATCGCCTAATGCTTTCTTGCAGAGAGCTGGATGAGGAGATTGAAACCACTGTCGTCTGTTTGATAAATATGAAGCTGCAGCCAGTTGCCAATTGGCTTAACACAAAGACTGTAAACGGGGGGAAACAGCTGTAATCGTTAAAAAAATCCTCATAGCAGCAGCACATATAATCACATTTGTTTAATCTGTACAAAAACCTGAAGTTCTGTCGTCCCAGTGAGACTGCTAGGCAACCAACTGACACTGAAGGAAGTCCCTTTTTTCCAGCCAACTACAGTAATAGTCTGGCACAAAATTGTAATAGTCGCTTTAACCGTTCGGTTTTTGTGATAAAACAAACAAGGTCAACCACATGTTGGTTTCCGTTTCCCCATTGAGAGTCCAACTTGAGGGGTTTCTAAAATGAATTTCAACCAGTCAGAACATTTTCTTTTCTTCTATTATTCTGACAGGACACTAATGCAGCATACATTGCTAATATTAACAATAGTGAAACATAATTCTACTTAATCCGTGATAAAGTCTTAACAAGAAAGCAGATAAGCATATTACCCTAAATGTCAAACATTTCTAACATATATTAGAAATATATACTGAACACAAAACATACAGTAAACTATGTTTATGTTTATTTAAGCGTCTTTGAGTTGTGAAAAGCGCTATATAAATAAAATGCATTATTATTATTATTATTATTATGATTTTAGCTGTACATTTATTCTGTTAATATATACACATTGGTATTTGGTACAAGTACTGTATACACTGTATATTAATAAAGCAACAGATCACTGTACTTGTTTCTCTTGTACATGCTAGTAATATGATTCCAAAGTCTACTTAAGTACAAAGAGGGATTTTTTTTTATAAATGGCCTTAACTTTGGTAGAGAATTAATTCGATTTGATGGCTTAAGCCTCATATTAACCTCGGCTGAAGTTTTAATGCAATTTTGCAACTTTCCTATAGGAATTGGCTTGGACAGTACTGACAGGATTAAAATGTAAGCCACCATGAACTGTTCCAATGGACATATGCATATCAGGGTAATGCATTAACATAGGCCGGTAAAAAACCCTGTACCAAGTCAGGGTTACAACTACATATTTAATGTTTCCATTTTATTCTTACCAACAGGCAAATACTGATGACGACCAATGAACACTACATTTTGAAGATAATCTTAAAATATATATTTTTGTGATGTCCTAAGGTAGTCAGTGCCAACACAACTTGAAGCTTCAGAGAATAAAAATAATAGACCTGACGTAGAAAATGACCGGCTGACGCAACAAGAACACTGACCCACAGTAAGTGAGCTTGTGATTGAAAACAACATTCTTTCATTATTGTGCAGAAGTCCCAGGATGAACTGGAGCGAACTCTCTCTAATGAGTGTGCCACCGGGATCCTGGCTAACAACATCTACTAGCTTGACGCAACAGAGCAGCAGACAAACAATAATTTCATAATCAACTACTAAATCACAATACTGATCACCTCCATGTCCTATATTATGTAAGAAGGACATGTGATGAGTGTATGTGTTCTCCTTTTGGTAATTAGAACACTGTAGATCTTGCCAATTATATGTGTATTATATTTAACAAAGCTCATCCTGAAGTGACAGTTCTCAAGGACACTGAAAAATGTCGTGCCAACTGATTTAGTGCAAACTGCTAAGGCTTGCGCTGAAAGTAAAGAGCATTACACTTCCTCTCTATAAACACACAAACAGGATGTATGTATTGTGTCTGCTCTGGGATCCTCTCACACCGAGCTGCTTCGGCCGAATAACCTTAAATTGAATAAAGGAAGACAATGGCTATCCCTGTAAGTGATACCCCCCTGCTGCCAAGCAGGATCATCTGTCACCGCAACAGGACACCCTTTAGGAATGTGGTGCACATGGTGAATTCAGACTACACATAACGTCGCCGCCTGAGCTGTTAGTGAAGCTGCCACCCGGGAGCTCGGATACAGAGGTGGTAGGTGGGGGGTGTGCATGAGGGCACAGCTTACACAACATGCACACAGAAAGAAGAGTAGAGACAGAGAGAGAGGGAATCAGGCGGCTAACATACCGTTCTCTCCAGCTTCAGCACCGACGATTTCCCTGGCTCGTACTCGAAGATGCTCTTGGGCTCGGCGCGGTACTTCCTGGTGTCTACCTTTTTATCCGGGGGCTCCCACTCGTTCCTGTGGAGAGGCGGGTGTCAGGGAGGGTTGGGGTGTGGGATGGAAGAGAGCCAATCCTTATCAAGTAGTCTCCATGGCAACCAGCAGAGGCTAAGATGTTTTTTTTTGTATTCAAACATGACGTGCGCCCTCATTATCCCCGCTCTCTCTCTCCTCTCCTGTCCCTCACTTCCACTAATGATGATATGACAGAAAATCCGGTCGAGCCAAATTGGTAATTCGATAAGGTAAACAAGATTGGACCCAGTGACATAAAACAGAGCGTGTCATTTCCTGGGAGAATTTCTTACTGTAACAGGCAGCCAAGGCTAAATGTACTACTAAACAGACCAGAATGAGACTCTTAAATAGGACATCTAACACCTATTATGGCCTCACAATAAACACTTTCTGTAATGACATTCTTTCTGAGAGTCAGAACATCTAGCAGCATTTTCTTTACATGTTTCACAATGCCCCCCTACATACATAACACCGGAGGGAAGAGGAAGGTCAGTCCTCAACATGTCATCTGCAGCTCTAGTGGGCAACAGTTTATCCTCCATCACCTGTCCTCCATCACCACTCCATCACTCATTTCTTAGAGCAGATCATTTTGTGTCGGTGCTGACATGTGTATGTGTTTGAGGAGGGGAGAGACTAATCACACCTCCAGCACAAACAACATGCTTGTGAAAGCCGCCTGGGACAAAAACAACATCAACAACAGGAGGAAGAAGACATTGTTTTTTGACCTGCACTGCACTCGGGCTGTCCTTGACTTAAAGAACACTTATTAATGTAGTTAACTGACAGATCTGTGAAACTTTACAAAGAATTGTGCGTCATAATAACTCAAAAAATATGTAAAATCTAAAACTAATTAAACAAAGAAATATAAGTCGAATAAGACTAAAGTGACCAATTATTCGACTCATTGACTTAAAGGGCTTCCTAGCACTGTAGGGAAATAAACAATGCAAACTGTTCATTAAAAGACTTTTAGGTCATGCTGTTAGAACATTGAATTACCACAAACATTACAGCCTGGTTTGATACCACTGGAACTCTTTTAAGAAACAGACATAAATATAATTTCTCTTCTTAGAGTTATATTCTTGGTGATTGATATCAGCATTCTGAGTTGTAAACAGCTCCTTTCTTCACTAACAATCCTGAACAGTGCTGTGCTTTTGTGTTAAACACCAAAGTGAAAGTCATAAGGACAGTTGGAGCAGGTGGAGGATGCTGACCTTTTGGCAGAGGGTTTGAGGGAAGAGGAGCGCCTTGGCACGGGCATCGAGCGGCCTCTTGAATCCATCACGGCGTCACTCTTAGAGCGCGGGACTGTTCTCACTGGAAACAGGCACACAAATACTGACGGTCATTGAAGCATCAACTGAAATATTACGGATGATTAAGAAGAGCGGATTGTGTTTGATTCACGAGTGTCATTTTAGACCAACCTCAACAAATACTAATAATGGATGATTTTGTATTTGAATGAAAGCCAAAACTCACCATCTTCCAAGTAACCAAAGGGAGTGGGACAATCATCTGAAAGCAGGGGCAAACAACAGCGAAAATGAATTTACAACAATCTGTAATCTGTTACAGGAAAGATAATGAACATAGCCCAAACCTAAATAATTCACAAGGCATTAAAACCACTCTTTTCCTGTGTTTTCCTTCCTGCCTCACACCTTCCATTAGGCATTACAGATTCATCAAACACAATCAAAGTGTGTCGATTCAAAGCACTTTACTGGAAGCATTACTGAGCTCAAAAGGGATGCAAGCATCGATCAAGGCTCTGAATAAGTAATGCTTTGTACAGCAAAAAGGTCACGATTGCCACGTTCAAACTTATCTCTGAATAAGTAATGTATTTCTGTGTGACATAACATTTAAAGGGTAAGTCTCTACTAAACATTGTGGTCAAGCTTAGACAAACCAAACTTTGACATTAGTAGATTAAGCTTGTTAGAAGCGGTACGCAGTCTGAAGGTTGAATAGTGCCTGTAAGACCAGGCACAGGGCAGTACAGACTAAAGTGCAGGTCTGTAGCAGCATCTGGTGGCTACCAAAGCACGCTACATCCAAAGACTACTCATGCTCTTGATGATAGCGTGTTTATGACATGTTTGAAAAATAAAGATTATTCACATCAATCAATTATTTGATGGTTAACAGCAAATACAAAAAAGCCATGAGTAATTGCTACAATTTGTTAAGTGAAAGTAGAATGGCACTACCAGGTTTCGTGCATCATCCTCCTCAACATGACTTATCAATGCTGTAATTAACCAGATAAGTATGTTTGAATCAAGATTCTTAAAGCCTAAACCATTGTTTTGTGAGAGTATGAATTAGAAACTAACCCACAAACGTGGTTTTTAACGACATGGCAAAACATTTAAGGGTTACTCCAGCAATTTGATATGATAATTCTATAAAATTGGGGGACTTACAAGAGACAGATTCTGTAAAAATGTATGCAGCAGAAGCTGAGATATCCTGACTTTTTCCCCTTAATAAAAGCTACAGAAACACTGACTACATTTCCCATAATGCAACTCTCAAATGCCAACCGGCAGTTTGTAACTACGAGTTATTTTCCAATCATGTGGACCATTTGCGTGTGTAATTCCCTCCCCCTTTCAAATCTGTCTCTATAATAAACTAGCACTGTTGGACTTCGTCAGGGTTCTTACTTTGAACAAGTAAACTGACCCAAATGTGGCAAATTAGTCGACTGTCATTACATTACATTAATGTCCCATATAATACGTTAAAAAAAGTGTCCCTCTAACTGTTTTTGTACCAGCACAGATTTGGACTTGTCATATTAGGAAAAGCCTATGTGTCGCTAATAACGTTAATGATGACTCTGCTCTATTCAGGTGCGGAAGTGGGTCATGAAAGACTGACAGTGAGCCAATACGAGACTCTGACACAGAAACAGCTAAATGGCATTCAGCCATCACTCATTTTATCCTTTTACACCTGTGCTTTTCTTAATGTCACATGTCATATTGTCTGTAAAATAAAGCCCTTTAAATCCAAAAGCCTAGTGATGTAGAAAATGTCCCAGGACAGCAACACAGGAAGTGTGCACGAAACCTGCAGTTCGTATAAAACGGCGCTATGTTATGGAACGGATGTCGGGAAAGATTGGGTAAAAGCCATTCAAATACTTGAGGCCATCTTTAAGATATTTTGTTTTTCACAGGTTAAAACACAGCTCAAGTATTTGAAAGGGCCGAGGATGGCTGCAGATCAGTTATTAAGCCAACAAGAGTGGAGTCACTGTCAGCGGATACCTTTCGATTTCATCTGAATATCACAGTTCTCGGGGAAAATGTAGGTGGGACGGTAAGGGTTTTCCTCAATAGCCTCTGAGCACAGTGATGGAGAGACAGAGGACAACATGACAAACAAACATATTAACACACACATATAGAAACACACACAGGGCTTGGACAACAGCACAGGAACATGATAGACAAAACTGATCCCACATACAAAAGGTAGATTTGATAAATGTCTCTTACCAGGTATTTTGTGGATCTGCTTGAACATTGTCTTGTACCAGTCTTTGGACTTTTCTGTGTTCTGAAATGGAGATGTGGAGACTTTTCATTAATAGTTGAGTATTAACAATTAGCCGGAGAGGTAAATGAGAAAACAATTCAATGGTACATTTTTCTAAGTCTGATCTAAATTGTTTTCTCTTGTGTCATATGAACAGGAGAAAAAAAAGGTTTTGGCAGATGATTTGTTTTTATAGGATAATTATTTGAGTTTGTTTTTGTAATACTAATTTGAGCCACAAGAGGCTTACCCCATGTTATAAATAGGAGTAAAAGTATTCATATTGTCTTCAAAGAGAGTTTCAATTTCTCTTTGCAATCTGAAAACAAAGTAAACACGTATTGTGGATAAGCCGGTTTGGTTATTTGTTTTAATCATTTAAACATACATTGTCACCCGCCCGTCTGTACTTCTTTTCCCCAGCTGTTGACATTTCTTGAAAAACTTAAAATCATTATATACAAGTAGAAGATTTATTTTCGTGTGATCATAAATCAATAACACAGGAGAGAAAACAATTTTGATCGATTAAAAAAAGTATTACCAAATCAAAGAAACATTTCAGAAATACAGCACAAATCAACAACTGACTATATTACAAACACGTTTGGTAACATGCTTTAAACAATGTTTTTACTGTTACATCAAAGGCCCATTTATCATATGAACAACACACCCTCTAAACATCCGCAGTGAGTAGATTTATCTTCATTTGACAGGCGGTTGTGTTGCTTACCCGTACAGGCACAATGGGCTTGTTGACAGGACTGAAGTCAGGGGAGTGCAGAGACAGCCGCAGCCTCTTCAAGTCCATATCATCCGGACTGACCGAGTCCCTCCCCGGATCAGGGCTTTTGTCCCTTTCTGGGGTTGGGTCTGTGACAAAAACACATCAGTAAGCCAGACAAAAGTTCATAGAGCATTTATAGTGAAATGACTCATGGCACTAAAGTATTGCATTGAATTACAGGACATTAGATATACAGATAATGTGGGCTGCGTACAGCAAGTGACAGGCGGGATGAAATTAAAATACAAGCATGAATGACAAATAAGTGTGATGTGTGTTAGACCTGAGGCCAGAGGCCTGTGCTATGAAGCTGGTTTAACATAACCTGGATATGTTTGAGTTACCCGGTTTACCTAAGCGGTCCTACGACGCTGGTTATCAACTCGTTAACTCAAGCCAGGGTTTCTCTGTCCGGCTGAGTGCACGTTCACATGAAAGGGGCGGGGTTAGCAACATTTGACCTCATACTTCCTGAATGTAAAGTGAACTATAATATTAGACAAATATGAAGAAGTTAAACTTTAAAAATCCATGACTTAAACACTTTATCCAGGATAAAAGCCACAGAGCTGCACCTGCAAGGTGAATACAGCTGTTAAAAGAAAAAGTGTTTGAATGCGTACATTAACAGGTTTATGATATCACTGCCACGTCTAAGACACGATCTGACTTTAATTACATTTGTCTCGAGTGTTTCGTCAACTTAATGTGTTGCTTAAAATAATACTTCTGCATACAGTATGTGACACTGTAAGTGTTGCACGGCCAGATACGGCTCAAGAAGCTGACTCAGATAAGGAAATATATGATACATTATGATGTGATATGATGTGATATGAATGATCATTTTTGTTACCAGCTGTATTCACCTTGCAGGTGCAACTATGTGGCTTTTATCCTGGATAAAGTGTTTAAGTCATGGATGTTTAAAGTTTAACGTCTTCATATTTGTCTAATATTATAGTTTACTTTTCATTCAGGACGAATGACGCTGCGCTGTCAGCACTCTTGTCCATGTTTGTGATTGGTCAAATGTTGCTAACCCCGCCCCTTTCATTTGAACACGCACTCAGCCGGACAGAGAAACCCTGGCTTGAGTTACCGAGTTGATAACCAGCGCCGTAGGACCACTTAGCGAGATCGTGTTTGTTTTGGGTTAGTTAAGCCAGATAACTCAAACATATCCAGGTTATGTTGAACTGGATTCCTAGTACAGGCCTCTGGTTCCAAAACTATAAACTTTATTACGGGTTTCAAGCTATATGGAAAATGTATGGGTACCGCATGTCATTTGCCCCTGATTAAATTAATATTTTGCCTTTTATACATATAATTCTCTAGATTTTGCCTCACAGAATGTATTCTGTACCACAAAAAAAAGTGAATTTATGATAATACAATATCATACATTTAGGGAAATTTATGTAGCAACACTTGCCATTGCATAAAAGGCTTGACATATATCACAACAAATGTGAAATATATAGAAATATATTTCTTGTTTTTGCATAAATGCTTACTACGTGTCACCAAAGTCCTTTTCACCCCCTATTCTCTTGGAACTTTCTGTTGTTGTTCCCTCATGACAGTAAAGCCTTGATAACAACAGCTGACCCCGAAGGTAAACACTGCATCACATTATGCAGCATGTGACAGTTGGCCGCATGAATGAGATGTGTCAGGTGTCAAGTAAGTGGATGAAAGTGTTAATCTTTATCTGGCAACGGACACAAAATGAAATCTAGTGTGACGCAGGTCTTAAATTAGCATCATATTAGAAAAAAAAAAAGACAAACATACATAACATAACTCGTAGCCTTGATGTTTCTCTATAGCCTGGGACATTCTTGTCAGCAAATAAACGTTTCAAATATTTTCCAACACGTTGACACATAAAACATGACTCATTCACTTCATCAGGCATGTGGCATTTAGCTGGCTGTGTCAAGGCAGTGGGAGGGTGACAGATGCTTCAGTTGAGTAGAAACAAATATTGCGCTGTAATAAAACTACGACTGCTGAAATTAAAAATAAATTACAAATAGAAATCACCAAGACCCCAGCGCATACCTTGAAAATGAGAAAGATGCTTTTGTTGCTCTGTGGTGAGAGAAAGACAAGGACAGGCACAGTGAAATGTGACTGAACAGTGAAGCAAAAGTGAGACATCATGTGTGACACAGAACAAGAGAAGGCTAATGGATCACAGAGTAACATAAAGCTAGGATGCACCAATGCATGCAAAAGACAGGTGTGCTCACCTCTGTTGTGTTGCAGCAGGACTATGGTGGGGTTCACTGTGCTCGTGCAGGGGTAAACAGAGCCGGGGGGAGACGAGACACAGTTCTGGATATCACTGGACCATAGAGCCTGGTTTTCTTTTATGCTCTCTGGTGATTTTGCCTGAAAATAACAGAAAGTACGCCATTTAATTAATACAAAGACCTCAAAATAAACAGATCACACAGCTCTTATAGTAAGATCCTATTGGGTGAAATTAAACGTACCTTGCACTGAGTGTTATTTACAGGTGGTAAATCAGCTGTGATGTTGCTGCCTCCCTCTGCCAATCCTGCTTTAGAGCTGTCTCCATTAATCTGGCCTTTCCAGTCACCTGAAAAGAGTCCAGAACATTCTCAGTTTGACAGCCAGCGCAGCAGGAATAAAATCACTTAGGATGACACTAAAAAGTACTCAGCATAACAGCTATCAAATAAATCTCCATTTCTTTCCGCAGGGCGTGAATGCTTTGCTTGGAGGTTTCCATGCACAGAGATGTTAATATGCCCAGGAAAGGGAAAAAAAGAAAAGATACTCCCACAGTTTTCTGAACTTTGTGGTCAGAACAAAGAGTCTATTCAGCGAGCTGCAAAGGCTGTTTGTTCCGATGGCCTTTATATTCTCTACAACAATTAAAGCATCTCCCCAAAAGCCTTGGCCGGCCTCCAGTCCGGTTCCAATGTGCTCCACGTAACAAACAGGCCCACAGTCGCGGCCCCCTGCTCCAAAGTGCAGTGGGAAGTCCGCAACAATAAAGCCCTTTGACACTCACATGAAAATATGAGCAATCGGCCTTTAAGCCCACCAACCGAGCACACACTTCAAAACATGACGACTAATATAATCCTGACATCCAAAGAGACCTGTGAAAGGCATGTGGGGAATTCTAACGACATGATGGCATTCTTTTTAAATTACGGCAACGTTCACAGAGTGTGTCCTCATCGCACAGTGACGTGCCCTGTCCCACAAATATTCTTTCATCATGTGGAGAGTTGTTATGAAGCAGCTGTGGCATTCGCTTGGACTTACTTGGCGCTGTGATGACGTTTGGCTCTCGGCTGATGCAGCCCTCCTCGTCTATATGGACCAGGGTGGCCCTAAGAGTCACCACTCCTTTCCCTTTGCACACTCTGCTGGGGTCCAAATCTGAAGAAAATGAAAAATAAGAGCATAATCTCCTCAACTCCTCATCGTTCTTGTTATATTTGGTTTACTGGAGATCTAAGTTATTGCTACCTCATGCCCCAAATGACGGAAATAGAACTGTAACATCAAAACCAGGCCATCAAATTAATTTCCTGTCCTGCAAAACTAATACAGAGCTGGATGTGGAGCAGCTGGAGATCGTCCCATCTCAACACAGGTTATTAAAGTGACACCACGTTGTTAACAAGTGAGTTTTAAGAGTGTCATTGCATGTTTTCTATGAGAGTGTGAGGCGTCCCACTGTTGTAGGCCCTGAAAGATTGATGAGGCGAAGGGATATCTAACCTGCGGCAGGAATCAGGTCAGGAGAGCCTTTCATGGTCTTCAGAGGCGTGATCCGGACAGCGGAGACTGATCGAGGACCGCGTGGGGCTTTAATACAAACACAAAACACACACAAATCTCATTCAATTCATAATCTAGAAGTTGATAGAAGGAATTCAAGATGTAGAGAGAGCATACATCATTCCATTAAAAGCTTTAAATGAACATGTTTGTGTCTGCTTGTGTGAATGGATGAAGAGGTGGAAAAGTACTCCGTTATTTACTTAACCCTAAGATGCATAAGTGGGTCTTTTTTGACCCCGTGAGGTGGTTTTGTTAAGTATCTTTGTAATTACATTTTTTTATAATTTCATATTCCAGCAATTCCTCAAAAAACACGTTTTGGATATCATGCCATTCACATTTAAAATTTACATTTGATACATTTTAAGAAATCGTAGTTTTTGTATTACTACCCCAAGCTTCCATAAGTGGGTCAAAAATGACCCGCATGCATTTTCTATGGAATTTCGTTTTTTTTCTAAATGTAATTTCTTTTTCGAAAAATATAAACATTGAAAAATTAAATATAAAATATTTCTTGTGTGAACCAAAATATAATACTAAATAATATACAAGTGATTTTACTTAAACAAAATGACAAAAATGGCATAAGAACACATATTATTCTAATACGGGTCCTTTTTGATCTACTTATTAGGGTTAAGAAAAGTAATACAACAGTATAACATTATTCTATTACAATGAAATGTTCTGCATTCAAAATGCACTCAAGTAAAAGTACAAAAGTATATCAACATATACTTAAAGTACTACAACTAAAAGTAGTAATTTTTGCAGTTTGGTACTTTACAGAACCATATAATAAACGATTGTTCTATAATTATTGATGCATTAACGTGTTCATCACTTCCCTGCATGGTAAATGTAGGATTTGATTGAATCAAAAGTTGATATTCTGCTGGGTAGCCTAGGCTATAAAAACATATAGTGGTTTATTAGTTGATCATTATTTTGAATTAATAATGTAAATCTGCAAAAATATTAGTACTTAATATGTAAAGTGAATGTAGTAGAGTTAAAAGCATAAAGAAGCATGATGTCAAAAGACTTTAGGGAGTTACAAGTATCTAACATTTCTTATTAGATACAGTACTTGAGTACATGTCTGAGTGCTTCGCCAGCATTCAATCAAACCAAAAGCACTGAAACTACTCCAGACTGAGATGACTTACTGGGAGTCGTGCTCGGTCTCACGCCGCCCCCTTCTGGAGAGCCCTGGAGAAGAAACACAGGGATACAAATATTCAACTCAGTGTTGTCAAAGCTGCTGATATGAATGATACTTTAACCTGAAGATAAACAAAAATGCTTGGTACAGCAACACAAGGCAATTTACATGTCACAGACAGTTGAATCAATACTGATGTTTGTACGAAGCAGTTAAGAAGGTAAGCGTGAGTTTATTTTGACCCTTATTGAAGAGCTCATGAAATATCAGAACAATGTGAAAAATGATAAGCATTGTTTGTTAAGGCCAAAATAGCTTTGTCAAAGTAAAGTCTTTTTTGTCCACAACCTAAAGACATTCAGTTTACTGTCATAGAGGAGTAAAGAAACCAGGAAATATTCACATTTAAGAAATTGAATTAAGAACATTTTGACAATTTCTTTATAAAAAACAATGTGACTACCAGCAGATATCAGTATATAAAAAGGTACGTTCGGTACCCGGGCCATTGCTTTGCTGCAGTCTGCCTTCAGCATGCAGTGTATTTTATTATGGAAGAGTGTGTGGCAATATTAGGTATATAGAAGAATCATTGAAAGGGCTGGCTAGGCTGTCGCTTCTACTGTAGGGAAAGTGGATGCACTGCAACCAATAGCTGTAATTGGGGAACAGCTAATGAAATTGTGGTAGTACAATGGTTGGGTTACACACAGGTTACACACTGAAATGAGATACAATGGTTCCAGACAGGAAGACGGTGAACCTCCAGTCATCAAATGTAGTCTATGACACACAAGCTTTAACTGTGTCATTAATAGAAAATGTATTGCTTTATAAAACAATGACAATCAGATGATGTACTGTCCAATCCGATTGCAGAAAAAGGAGCAAACAGCAAGACAATATGTTGACTGTGTCCTAACAATCTAATATCACTGTTCCTCATGTGCTATTTCATTATGATATCTATGATCACAAAGCCAAAAAACTATCTAATCAAGGATGGCAACAGCTGATACATGTGAAAAGAATTAGGGAAGGGATTGTCTGTGGATTGTCTTTAAATCATTTTAACTACAATGGAGACTCTGTTATTAATCAAAACCAGAGGTGGAAAGAGTACTCAGATACTTTACTCAAGTAAAAGAAAAATAATTAGGGCCCCTTTAATGTGTTCATCACAGCTGGTAACGGTGGAGCTCATTTGTATTACGTATATGCTGCTGTTGCATATCTTAACCTATAAATTATGGCAATGCTTTTTTAATAGTTGATTTATATTTCATATTAGCCAACAAATTGGATCTATTAAGTAACAAGTGAAGAAGTCAAATACAGGAGTAAAAAGTAGAATCTTGGGTTCTAAAATGTGTAAAGTATGAAGTAATGAAAGACTTTAATTAAAAGTACCCTAAAAATGTACTTAAGTACAGTACTTGAGTAAATGTACTTCACTACCTTTAATCTCTGGCTAAAAACTAGTTAAAATGTAAAAAACTTAACTGCGGACAAGAATTCAGTAGTTTACACTTTGGCATGACAAACTGCACTTTGCATGCCTTAAGTTTAGTTTGGGAGGAAGCCCTTGACCAATGAAATGAATTCAAATATGAATCTGTGTTCCCCTTTAAGGACGGGCAAGGGGGGGTGGGGGGGCTTTAGAGAGAACAAACATATGTTAATCTGAGCTGCATCAGTGGAGCATGCTGAAGGAACACCAGGGCCACCAGAACAGTGTCTGTGAAACACTTCCCACTGCTCCGCCGGGCTTCTTTGTGCTCAGCCAGCACCGCTGATTTAGGAGACGTCCCCATTTAAAATGCCAAGGAAAGGCTGATTGAATTGACACAAAAACATTAAAAAAAAGCAATCAAACTGTCACACAGACGAACACAAATAATGTTTTTGTTTGCAAGCTATTGATAATGGTAATGGGAAAAACAGGAAACTCATTAGAATGTCTTCTAACTTGTGTGTTTGCTAGTTAGCGTGGGACTGCGTGTGCACTGTGTTTACACAAACGGCGGTAAATAAGCCGACCTGCAGAACAGGCAGGGGACTTATGTTCCAGCTGGAAACCTCCACAAATAGGCCCTAAATGGATGAGGGAAAATGGGAGCGATTCCAAATAGGTCCCCCGGGACACCAAGCTAAAAACCTTTTAAAAGCTCTTGCAGCCTGAGCTGAGCTGTCCCAGAGCACCAGGAGCTCTGTATTTATTTCCCTTCTCTCTTTAATAAAGTCAACTTGCTTCCTGACCCCCTGCATCCCGGGGAGACAACGCATCAATGCTCTCATTTCCAAAACCATTAACAGGCATTCATGACACTGATCTCAACCCTACTTCCGTTGTATCCTCGGATGAACCCCAACTTTGTAAATATACAGTATTAAAGGGATTATTCAATCCTCTCACACACAGACTATATGATAGCTAGTGGGAAGATGACAGCTTGCAGCGTTCACCACACTGTATAAACACACAAGAGCAGAAATCATCCCTGGCCTTTTTAGGAAGAGATGCCTCAGAGCAGAGCCGTGCAAAAGCACTCCTTATAATCAAAAAGGCTTTTAGATGTCCCTGCTTCACAATTTTACAATTCTCTATGAACACAAATGGATTTGATGAACACTCACCATTATTTATATTCTGTAATGGGAAAGAAAAAGATTATTTGCATTTCATTTTCTTTCGTCTATATGTTGCAATTTTGTATCCAAAATCTACACTTTGGATTGTTTTTGAATGTACACCTCTAAACACCTATATTGGAGGTTTAGGGCGAAAATTCCACCACATAATAAATACAAATATTGTGTTGGGAAAATATGACTATAGATTGAAAGGATAAGTCCATCTGAATGTAAGTTTTCAAAGAAAATAACATTGCAAATCCAATCTCTTTGGAAAAAAACAAATCACTGAAAGATATTACAACACAGGATATAAGGGATCCATTCTGGTTAGATAGGGGGTATACATCTAACTCTAATTACATTTATTAATGTGTATTTGGACTGTAAACAATTTAATTGCTTAAGATCATGTTAATCATATACGTTTTGTTTTAACTCTTGACATCATTTAACTTTTTTCAAAAATATATACGTACTGTCATAGCATCAAACTATTGTGTGTATGTGTCGTTTTTGCCTGTAGTAAGTACAGTAAGACGGAGTAGCTCAACAGATACAACTATTACCTTTTTAAGGTTTAAGCTCAAACTCTCCAAATGGGGATTCTTGGTAAACTGAAACATCATGATCTGACAAATGACATGAGACCAACTCTCATAACAGTAACACCAGGACGAGAATCAAACAAGCATTTGAAGAACACAAAAATGGCTACAAGTGATCTCAGACATATTCTGGTTGTCTCTTGAGACTCCAAATTCTCACACCTGAGAGACTTTGTATAAACTTTTTCTAACAGGTGTTTTATTAATGCACTAAAATGATCAGTCAAGATTCCGGGAAATCCCAGCAAATAAACACCCTCACCGTTCAAACCATTTGCACCATTACACACAGAAATATAAATCTCCCACCAAATACTCTTGGGTGTATCTAAAATACCTTCCAGAACAATAAACTTCCCAACACATCACAGCAGATCTGGGGTCGGGGGGGCATTACCTTCTGGATGATGAGCACAGCAAGTCCTTATTCCACAATCATCAGGTCCCTCTGAAGCCTCCTGGGGCTCCGGCTGAGCTTTGAGGCTCTTGTTTGGGCGGGACAGGTTCCAGCATTGACCTTGACCCTCGCTATGTAGGGGGTCTGTTTGTTTTTGACAACAGGCGTGCCCTGATGGACTTGTCACCACATGACACCTGGGAATGTTGCACCCACTCAACAACTGTGCAGACCACCATATAAAATCCTCCCACCCCCTCCAAACGCTCCGTAGAGACAGAAGACGAGAGACAGACCAACAATGGAGGACGGCTGGAATTCGCTACTGGATGACTCAGCCGTCCATAAGGTTTTAATACTTCAGTCAACCTGATGAAGTTACTCAATGAGCTTTACTGGTTCTACGCTAATGCGTGATTAGATATATGATATCAAAACATGTTCTGAACATGTAGATGTATGTGTATGTTGATACTCTAGTTTGAATAAATACTGCAACTTTTTTGTCAATTAATATCAATATTAATGCTCCAGTTATATTAGTTAGATTAGATTGTCAAACCTCTCATCTAACTCTCCGAAAGATAGAAAATAAGTGTATTCCCGCAACTGTTGAAAAGTTCCTATTGTTAAGGAATAATATCTTAGAGATACATTTGTTTCAGTACTAAACTATGTTTTGTTTTGAGAGCTGATACCAATGTTTTTTAGAGCAAGATACTACAGAAAATATTATTTTTTAACAGCTGATTTGATGTCACTGTGATTATAACGAAACTTGTATCTCTTTAGAAGTTGGAAAAAACAAATGGATGTGACCCAACACATTTGTCTGACCCTAGTAGACACAGTATCTTATTTTTAATTAGTATAAAATAGATTTTTCCCGAACTGCTTTATGACTCCAGCGGACCAGAGCAGCAACAATCAGTTCATCTGAATCAGCCTCCAGCTTCTGTCGGTCTCCCCCCCCTGTGAAAACTAAACAAAGGTGGGGTGGTACCAAGTTGAACTATGATGTATTTCACACAGGGGGTCTCTGTGTCGCAGTCAGAGGCCGCCTTAAAAGTGAGCTATGTTAACACAAAAGAGCTCTCTCCACACGCTCAGCTGTACTGTGGACGGACAGAAAGGGCTGTTACGTAACGCCGTTTGACTTCTGCTTTGTGAACAAATGGCAGAGAGGAGAGAAGCTATCCAGCGCTGAGCGTGGATCCCACCAAACAGCTCCAAACATGGCTCGAAAGGGCCGCTCCGGAGCAGCAGCTTATCCCCCTAATTGAGAATAGCCCCCCCCCCACACCTACCCCTCCACCCTCCCAACTCTATTCCATAAACAGCTTCCACGCTGGAAGGCAGCCTGGGATTCTACACATTCCTCCAGGAAGCTATTTGAAGTTCATTTCAA